CCCAGTAGCTACCCTTTCCTCCTCCCAGGCACGGATGGTGAGCTTTTGGCTGCACCACAGGCTCTTGTCACCTTTGCTTTGCCGTCTCATTGAATCCCATTTCTTTGCTCTGTTGGTTGTTTCTTTTTCTTTCCGTGTATTTTCTCTTTTTCCACTGGGTCCCATTGGTTTGCTTTCCTTTGTTCCCTTCGTTTTGCTTTCTCTACTCCTCCTTTGGCTTTGCTCTCCATTGTTAATTTCATGTTTGTTTGGTTTTGGTTTGCTTTCCTTTTTGTTGTTCATTCTGTTCCTTGGCTCTTTGTTTTCTGGCATTATTTTGCTTTGTCCTACTTTCTATTTTGCTTCTTGTCTTTCTTTCTAGTTTGTTTTGTTTGTTGTTTTTTTTTTCCATGTTCTCCCCTTAGATTTTGTTAGCTTTTATATTGTCTCACTGCTCTCCCTGTCTACTAGTTCTCTACCCAGCTCATTGTCCACTGCTGTTTCCCACACTTTTTCAGCTTTGTTATGATAATGTCATGGAATACAGTGTCAAATGCTTTTCTGAAATCAAGGTAGACTACATCTGTTGCTCTCCCTTCATCCTCCCAGGCAGTGGCAACGTTTTGGTTTTGTGTTATCGGTTTCTCCCTGGGTTAGGCTTAAGTGTTAGGAGTTTGGATTAAGAGTTATGCCATTCTGGAGGGGTAAAGGGTTACCGTGTTGGATATGGGGTGTTATTGGTTCCCATTTTTGGTTTGGCCTTTTTGGGTTTGGATTATGAATTAAGGATTCCCATTTGGATTAAGGTTTGCCTAACCTTAGGGAGAGACCATTGACACAAACCCACAACCATTTGCCTTAACACTTTGCCCTCACCCAGAAGGGTAACCTTTAAACCTGACCCAGATGCATAACGCTTGGCACAGAAGCCTTAAGCCTTAACCGATCTAGGAAGCCTTAAGCCTAAAGCCTAACCCAGAAGGGTATTTCAGTACTCACCAATCACACCGAACAGTAACACTTCACCACAACCCAGAGCAGGATGAAGCTGAGCTCGTCTGCTGCCAGGGCTGCTCTGAGGCACAGGGCATGGCGAGCAGCTGTGGGCAGCACAGCTCACCCAGGAGGTGCCTGGACCCAACTGCCAGCTGTCCTGGGGCAGGGCCCTCTGTCCTCATGGAAATGCATTGTGACAGCATAAAGGTTCCAGGAGCCCTGCTGATGTCATCTGTTCCATGATGTGCCCTGTGCTCTGCCTGGCCTGGAGCCGATGCCTCCAGGCTGTTGTTTAATGATGTCTGAGTGTTTTTTGTGTGTTCTTTTGTGTTTGCTTTTTGTTTTTTCTTTTTTTTCTTTTTTTTTTGTTTTTTGTTTGTCAGTTGTCATCTCTGCTTTGCCATGATGTTAAATCCTATTTCTTTGGTGTTCTGTTGGTAGCGTTTCTTTGTATTTTGGGATATGGATATGGGATCGATTTGAGATAGGATACAGGGGTATGGATTTGGGGTGGGATGTGAACATGGGATGAATATGGTCTGGGATATGGATAGAGAATGAGACGTGGGATGGGAAAAGGAGATACGGATAGGGGATGGGCTGTGGGTATGGGATGGATTTGGGATATGGAATGGATATGAGGGTCTGGATATGTGTTATACATATATATGTATAACACATATATAACACATATATATGACACATATATATATATATATATATGTATATTGCCCCCACCCCATGGGAACAATGTGGTCTGTGGTGGGGGACACTTAGAAGGGGCCCCCAGAGCAGGGGCCCCAGTTTTGGGATATGAAACCTTGGGGGATGTGGCGGCATCCCCAGCTGTGGGACTGTCCCCAACTCTGGGGTGTGACTCTGTCAAGGTGACATGAAAATGCCCCTAACTTTGGGGTCCGATACTGTGGGAGTGTCCCCAAATCTGGGCTGTGACACCATTGGAGTGACAGGGAGGTGTCCCCAAATATATCTGTGACACTGTGGGGTGTCCTAACTTTGGTGTGTGACACCATTGGGGTGACACAGATTTGTTCGCAGCTTTGGGGTTTGACACTGTGGGGATGACATAGGGGTGTCCCCAACTTCAGGGTGTCACACTCTTGGGGCATCCCCAACTTTGGGGATGTGACACCGTGATGCGGTGTCCCCACTTCCCCTGGGAAGTCCTCGAGCTGCTCGTGGTGCCCCCAACTTGGACAGAATGTCCCCAGGGGGGTCCTTTTGTCCCCTCTGTGTGAGGGTGACACCCAATGACAATGATGCCCCATCAGGGCTGTTCTGCACTGATGTCACCCCTGGTCCCCTCTGGTGCTGGCACAGAGTTCACGGAGTGTGCATCCCCATCCTCATGACAGACGATGGTGACAGCGCCAGAGGGCTCCGGTGTCACCGGGTCTGGCTGTCGGCAGGCCTGGAGGGGTGACAGAGGACAGTGAGAGGCTCAGTGACAGCATGGGGCCACCTGTGCCTGCCCCCACGTGGTGGTCAGAGCACAGGGAATGGTGTCACCCAATGATGGTGACAGAGACAACTGTGAGAGAATTGGGGGCTGTGGGAGGGCTTCAATGGGACATAAAGGGGGTCCAGTTGGGGTCAAAATAGGGAAATGGATTCCAGAGGGCAGGGAGGAGGGCATGAAGGTACAGGGGACTCTAGGGGTCAGAAAATGGGGTCAGGAGTGAGGGGAGTAAGGGAAGACAGGGGACCTCGGGGGGCAAATTGAGGGGACTGGGGGATGGTAGGAGATTCTATGGATCAGAATGGGGGAAGTGGAGCAGGGGTACTTGAGGGAACAGGGAATTCTGGGGGTCAGACAGAAGGAGGGAGGGGGATGAATCTAGGGGAGAAAATGGGAAGACTTGGGAGGGGTGGCGAAAGGGGACACAAGGGATCAGAGTGGGGGACAGATGGACAAGGAACCCTGGGGGTCAGAATGGGGAACAGGGACAGACAGTGACAGAGGAACTGAGGGGGAAGGGTGGAAGAGGACTCCAGCGATGAGAATGGGGGAAGTGGAGGCAGGGGGCAGAGGGTAAGCCTAGGGTGGGAGCCGAGAGTGGGCACTGCCCTCCTGCCAGCTGCACCCGGTTATGGTTTGCCAGGCCCCTGCTGCCCTGGATTTCACCTGAGAGGTTTGTTCTAGCTGCCTGCAGTAGTAAAAGATAGGGAAGAAATGGAAGTCAAGAGCTAAGGCTCTACACGGTAACTTTGCATGGATTGAACTGTGGCACCTGAAGACACAGGTCCATTCCTGAATAATGCTGGCATTTTGCAGGTGTGTTGGTTTAACCCCTGAACTGATGTCTGTGAGCACCTGTCTTCTCCACCTGAACTGTAAGAAAGCTGGATGTGCCCAGAAATTGCAGCAGTTGCTGTGAATACTCTCCCAAATGTTTGTTTCTTTTAGTGATAACTAATGGCTCAGCACTGTGATCTCGTGTCTCTGGCACAATCTGGAATGCTTCATCTCTTTGCCGATGTTGGGTGCCCATTTCCATGGACCTTCTTTTCTTTCTCTCCTCAGAAGCAGTGCAATGTGGTTCCCTGCGCTAGGGAGCAGAAGCCAGCATGCTGCCAGAATGCCAGCTGGGCCTTGCAGTGCACAAAGGCAGTGTTGGGGATGGACCATCATTAGCACCACACAAAAATGAGCCTCTTCAGTCCTCTGTAATGAAGTATGGAAGAATGCATTTAAAGTATTACTTCTGAGCAGGTGCACTGCTGTAGGATGTCAAGTAACCATGGTGAAAGCATTGAGGAGGCTGACAGTGGTAGCTGATGGCAGCAGTGTGGCAGAAGTCCGTGTATAAGTGGTGGTGCTCAGAGCTGAGTGCATTCCTGAGAAAGGCACTCTTGACTTTATGGCATTTTCTTTCACCTGGTGATATGTAGAAAGTCAGTGGAGAAAGGAGCCAGAACAAAAATACCCTACTTAAAGGGCAGCTGCATTTAGATATCTACAGCATGCCAGATTGTTATGTGAGAACTGAGCACTCCATGACCTGTAGGATGCAATGTCTTCTGAGATATTATTGGAAGACTATTATTGGAAGACTTTGTGGACAGAGACATGTTTAGCTCACACTGCATCATCTACACTGCCTAAGGAAGTTATGCTGCATTAAGAAAACCATGCTCTCTGAGAGCACAGTTTCCCATCAAAAAGAATTATTTGGCAGACCACCTTGGGGTCAAACTATAAAGCAGATTACAGGACAAGTACAAGGGGCAAGACAAAAACGCTTAAGGCATGGTTTATTACTTCTCAAAATAGAAATTTAAGAAAGGGTTAGGTAAATTTCTCACTAGAAATGCCTGTTAGTTTTGCTGGAATCCTTAGTGACGAATTCAGACATAGACATCTGTGCTGCAAGTGTCTATAACTGTATGGATAAAGTTCATGATCAGCATGTCCTGTAAAGCTATAGCTACGTTGTCTTTGATTTTTACTCAACAGGTTGCAACGCCTTACATGTGCTATATGAATTGCAAAGTTTGCCTACACACTGGATCATCCAGAAGCTTTCACACTTTCCCTTTGTGGAAATGTAATCAACTCATTAATGGTGGGATCGTGAATGAGTCCAATGAGAAAGCAGCATCAACAGTGAAAGTTTGACTATAAACTGAAATCATGAATTACCATGGTTGAATCTGAACCAGTAGTCCAGTAATAGTTCTATGAAGTCTCAACACCTACCAGATCATTTCTAATGAATTTAAGAGATAACTTCATGGTGCATGAGTTGGTTCCTTTATACAGGTTGGTTCTTCCTTATCTTATTCCATACAGGTTTTAGTATCACTCTAGGGATTTTTTTCATAGAAGAGGACTTCTTGAAGGTTATCACTTGTACGTTATGCTGTTACATAACGTACAGTATGGATTTTTTCCTAAGAAAATTGCATGAACAAAACAAGGAACAAATAAACTTTCATTTATTTATTTCAAAATATATATATATTTTTAATATGTATTTGCTGACCAACTTCCACATGGAGCTTTTGATCTCCTTGTTACACAGCGTGTAGATCATGGGATTAGTCAAGGGGAAGACAACCGTATGGAAAAGAGCAACAACCTTTTCCATTAGGACAGCCTCAAAGGGTGGGACATAGATACAGACAGCTGGGCCAAACGTGACAAAAACTATGATGATGTGGGAAATGCAGGTGGAGGTTATTTTGTTCCTTGTTTTGGACTGTCTGGAGCTTCAGCAAGAGGACTGTGTAGGAGATGAGGAGAAGTGCAAAGCACATGACAATGACAACTTCATTGTTGAGGAACATCAGAAGTTCCACCGTGTGTTAGCACAGGCCAAGTTAGCCAGCTGACAACACATCACAAAGATGTCCAGGACGTTGGGTCCACAGAAGGGGAGTTTGATGGTGAGAGCAAACAGAATGATGCCATGGGCCATGGCCAAGAGCAGGAAAGCTTCTGCTGCTCTCAGGAAGTCAAGAAACAAAAGCTGGGTCATGCAGGCATTGTAGGAGATGGTCTTGGGATTTGAGAAAAAGTCAGCCAGCATTTTGGGTGGGGTCACAGAACAGTAGCAGATGTCCCTGAATGCCAGATTAGCCGGGAAAAAATGCATGGGTGATCCAGCTGGGAATCCTGAATTGTGAGAATGATAAGGATGTTGCCTGGGAGAATTATCATGTAGAACAGCAGGAAGAAGAAGAAGAGGTTTGACTGGACTTTGTGGGATTGAGACAATCCTAGCAGAATAAACTCTCTAACTACCATATACTTTTCATGCTCCATTTTGACTCTTGCAAGCCCTGAGAAGCAGACAGCAATAAACACGCTAATGCCAATATGTTGCAGTATTTAAGCAACTTGGGTTATGCTTAGGCTACTGAAATGCACATCCTGTGACCATTAGCTGGTTTTATGGATCTCTTCATAGTGAATTTCTTGAAAACTAGTCATTTAGATTCCCACTGACTTGAGAATTATACTGGAATTTTGAACAGAAAGTAAACATGTCGTCAGACGTTCTCCCTAACAACTGGCACCTGGATTAAATTTAAGTTGTAAAGAATCAGTCCAGTCTCCTGTAGTAGGCTAATCTTTGTGGTTTACAGTGTAACTATCTTGTTCTGAAATAGTGAAACGTACAGCCTCTCCAAATGAGCAAAGTAGACCCTTCGAAGGTACAGTGCATTTCCTTCTAATGCAGACAACCAAACAAAGCTAGATGAATTGCAGTCTAAAGTTGCTAAAAACCTAAAATCACATCCACTGATTATAAAAGGAAACTAATTACAGACCAGTCACGTCTGAAGGAAGATTGCAATTGAACAATTTAAAATCCTTGTAGTTAATGATGTCAGTATAGACATCCCAAGGAATGGCTAATTTCATCCCAGATTTTCTCTGGAGTGCATCAGTTGAAGTATATTCAGAAATAACCTGCTTTCTCCAGTTGTCTTCTGAGGGGCATAAACGTGCCTAGATCATATGCAGACTTTGATTTTTCCCCAAAGAAATCCCATGGCAGTGTCTAATTTTCCAATGAAGTCATCAGAACACTGGAAACAGGAAAAAAAAATAAATTATTTAAATATCTCAACAAAATTAACCAAGAATCAACAATATGACAGCCATAGAAAACAAATTAGTATTTCTCACGGAGCACATCAACTGATTTCATTTTCATACATTTTGAATTAAACTGGATTTTGATTAATCACTCATTAAGAAAACCATTTTTAGAAAGTAAAATTTATTTTAAAAGTCTTTCTATTGATCTAAATCCTTTCATTCATCCCAATTCTTTTGCTTCTTTTGAGGCAGGAGAAAGTAACATGAGTTTTTACTTTTTTTACTTCAACATCTTTCTTCCATTTTGCTGCAAATATGTTAACTTTGTATGAATGTCTGCTTGTTACTGCATTAGGAGCCTGGCCAGCAATGTTGAACTAGAGAATAGAACATTCTATGGTTCTGTGATTCTAGCTGGTGTAATATTCTTTCTAATCACTCTCAGTGGTTGCCCCTTGGAGTTGGGCAGCCATTGGGATGGAGGTGTGTTTTGGCATTTATCCTGAGAAAGATTTTCCCACAGAAATGTCAGTAAGTCACTTCCTGTACTTACTGCACACCAGGTGCAATGTAGAGGTCCCCTGCAACCGATAATTTATGCCTCTGATATGCAAATGAGCTCCCAAACTCTGACTTTGAGGGGATTCAATTACACACCTTTTTCTTCAGGAGGTTCCATGGTTGTTGTCCTCACAGTGATGCTTCTGAATCGGTATGTGGCTCTCCATATATCTTTGCAGTACCCAAACATCTTCAATCACAGCAATTACAGCTCCAGCTGGTTGCAGCAGTGTGGGAGGGGCACTGCTCATTCTAATGTGCAGGTAGAACTGTCATTCATTTGTCATCCCATGGATCAAATTTCCCAGACAGTTTTTACTGTGATGTCACACGGGTGATCAAACTGGCCAGTATGGATATTCATGCAGCTGAATTGCTTGTGGAGTCCAAGAATGGTCTGCTAACAGTCCTCAACTCTTTGCCCTGATTATGTTGTAAGCTGTCACCTTGACCAAAATCAAGGCACGTATCATAGAGAGGATGCACAAAGCCTTTCTCACAGATGGAGCCCAGGTCACAGAGGTGAGCATCCATTTTGCACGTGGCATCTTTCTCTGCACTGCTGTTCAAAAAACTTGTGGTCAAAAAGCCATGTTGTCTCTGAACAGCCACTCCCGGTGCCACATTCCATCATCTACACACTGAGGAACACAGAGATGAAGAATTCCAAAAGAGATTTCTCAGTAACATCTTTTTCAAAACGAGCAATTGAAAGCTCTCACTCCTCTGTTACATAGCTGTTCTCTGTTACAGAGAAATATAAAAACAAAATACTGTCAACTTAATAATTGCCTGTAGGGGACAAATAGAATGAAATTTGAAACAACATAGAGGTCAGATAACAATGCTGCCTCTCAAAGTAATAACAGCTTTGGAAACAAAACAGCTGCTGACTAAACAATGAACCTGCATTTAAAAGAAAATTGACAATAACAAAACCAATAAAAGCATCCCTTGCTCATTTTAGTAGTTCACTGTGGGTTCAGTTAATGTCTGAGTTTCTAATTTTCAGTAATTCTACAGAATTTATGTATGGATGTTTCAGTTTTGTTTGTGGGTTTTGTTGTTTTTATTTTAGTTTATGCAAATATATTCCAACAAAGAGGTGATCAAGGTTTGGTGGAGATTTATTGAGATATCAGGATATTGTGTTAAGCATCTGGAGACCTAGGCAGCCTATGTGTCGGGGTTAAGCTGACAGGCAGCTCAGCACCACACTACTACCTGTGCATTCCACAGTAGGATGGGGGAGAGAGTAGGGAAAGAAAAGCAAAACTTGTAGGTAGAGATAAAGAGAGTTTATTAGGAAAATAAAAATGGGGGGCAAAAAAAAAGAACACACAAAACAAGTGACACACAAGGCAATCTCTCAGTACCAGCAGACAGAAGCCCAGCCAGTCCCCAAGAGCTGCAGTCTCCCTGGCCAACTTCCCCCCCGTTTTGTTGTTTTGTAGGACATCTCCTAGTGCAGAATTTCTTTCAGTTTAGCTCATCTGTCCTGGTTCTGCCCCCTTCCACCTTCTTGAGTACCCTGTCTTCTCTCCATCAGAGCAGTCTGAGAAGCCGAAATGTTGTCTTGGTTCCCTTGTCATATATCAGCCTTAATTTTCACCAGGTGAAGATTAAGTTTCCTAGTAGTCCAAGTAGCCAGGGAAAACCTGTCTTTGGTCTTCTGGGAGCCTTTGTGTTTTTCAGAGGTGTCACTAGAAGGAATGGCTTCAGCAAAATTTTTCTCAAGAAAGGAACTCTTGGGACCCAAGCACAGATGTGCAGAACCTTCTCTTAACTTTAATAATGGGTTGTGGGTGATGTTTTCCAAAGTGAAACAGTGAACAAACCAACCATAAACACCTCTAAGAGGGAAGCAGATGACCACAGCACAGATTGAATAGCAACTGTTAGTAAATGTTAGTAAAACTGTTAAAGAAATGTTCACAAAAGAGAGTGAATGCTTTCTGCATCTACAGGAATTTACTACAAGGTTTCCACTTATTAATCCAAAGAGTCTTTGCTAATTACAGGTATTAAATGCAGTCAGCTTTACTTTTTCTTTGTTTGTTAGCTTTGTTTTGTTGTTATTGTTGAAAATCTTTTTAGCTCTCCTGGTTTTCTGAATTGAAATATAAATAATAATGATTTCCAGAGAGAAAGAAATGACAGAGAAACATTCAGTAGAATTTATTAACGGAGTCATGGTACTTTAGATCTGAAAGAAAGGATGAGAGATGCAAAATACTAATTATTCTGTCTCAAGTCCCAAGATACCTTCCTGGTGATTGTGCTGCATGAAATGCTTATGTCTTTCTGGAAGCAAGGAATGAGCATCAGTTCCTCGGCCTTGTTAGAGCACCTCTGCTATGAGGAAAGGAGCTGGTCTTGCTCAGCCTGGAGAAAAGAAGGCTGAGGGGAGGCTGGATTCTTTCAGTGCATGCAGAGAGCTTACAAACAAGATAAGGACCAAGTTTTCACACAGTAAAATAATATTTCTTAAGTGACAGGGTCAGCTGAATCTCCTGCAATGAGAGCAAGACCTTCAGACCCAAGTGTCCAAATAAGCTGTGGCATGGGGGTGGATTTGACTGGTTTTAGTGAGCTAGCAGCCTTACATAGTGACCTATGCCAGAAATAGCATTTTTAAGCTCCACATTCATGTACAAGAAAAGGTTTATTTCTTCCTTGGGTCAGCTATAGTTTTAATTAGTACTCCTTTCACTTCTTTATTCCTCAGGCTGTAAATCAGGGGATTTAGTGCTGGAATTATAGCTGTGTATATGAGAGAAAAAAATTTCTTAACGTCTTGAGAGTAATTGACTTTGGGCCGTAAGTAAATCAAGCTCCCACTGCCATAATAAAGAGTTACAACAATAAGATGTGAAGAACAGGTGGAGAAGTTCTTGCGCCTGCCCTCTGCAGAGGAAATCTTCAGGATGTTGGAGATGATGCAGGCATAGGACACCAGGATGAGACAAAACGGTGCAAAGATGACCAGCACAGCGGTGGTAAGTGTCTGCTTTTCATACAAGGAGGTGTCATAACTCGGAGCATAACGAGTGGAGGAATGTCACAGAAAAAGTAGTTGATCTTGTTGGGTCCGCAGAACCGCAAGGTGAACACCCAAGCTGTCTGCACCACAGACACTACGTTACCACTGCAGCACGACAGCAGGACTAGGGAAAGCCTGGCTTTGTTGTTCATGATGATGGCACATCGAAGGGGGGGTTGCATATGGCCACGTAGCAGTCATAGGCCATAGCTGCCAAAACGTAGCATTCGGTGGCCCCCAAGAAAATGACAAAGTAGAGCTGTGTGGCACAGCCCATGTAGAAAATTCTCCTGCCCTCTGGCAGGAAGCTTACCAACATCTTGGGAACAACAGTGGATGCTGTGGAAATATCCAGGAAGGACAGGACCCGGAGGAAGAAGTACATGGGCATGTGCAGGGTGGGATGCGCTGTGACCAGGAAGATGAGGAGGTTCCCGGTGAGGGTGAAGGTATAAATCAGACAGAAAGAGAAGAACAGCCAGTTGTCCTGCTCTGGGTGGCTGGACAATCCAGAGAGGACAAATTCTGTCAGAAAAGTATGGTTTTGTGGTTCTGGTCCTTCTGCTGGCTTCATGTGGGAGGAATCAAAAGAATGGAGCACCAGAGGGCTGGTCGGACCAGAGCGCTTCAAGACAGCTGGCAACCAAAACACCTACAGTCCAAAGAAAGCAAGAGAATTTTACTACACTGGGGAGAAGTTCAAAAATGCCTGCTTGCAGTCTGCAATGATCTATTTTTCCCTGCTGAGAGGACTGGTAGTATGAACAGTCTTCTAAGACATTTGTTTATTGGTTTTGAAAAACTCATATGCAAAAGTGAAGGAATCCCAAACTCTAGGATGCCTTGGCTCACATTCACAGCCTTCCCCAACTGCCAGTGGTACACAGAGACTTCAAAAAGCCAAACCGCAGGGAATGCACACCCAAACAGAACAAAATTAATGCACAACAAAGCAAAGCCTGATAACCTCTGCCTATTGTCTGTTATAGGATAATTAGGGAGAAAATATAAAGAGAGAAAACTAGTAAAGTATAAAGGGTGAAGCTCACTTCTGTCTGCTTAATCAGTCACACTGGCTCATTACCTTGAGAAGTGCCTCAGAATGTGCAATGCAGATGGATTATTCATGCAGCACTGTGGCACTCATGGTAGGTTGATGTTTTGTTATTGCCCTCAGTGGGAAACTGATGCACAAAGAGATAGAAGAAATCCAGAGGAGAAAATGGTCATTCTGTGTTCTCCAGGTTCAAGCTCTGTTACCTACAGGGAGAACCCTCCACCAGAATGCACTAGTGAATCTCAAGGCACAAAATGTTCTTTGGTAGCAGAAAGGTATCCTTATATCGTGGAAATGTGGTAGGAAAGTACAATTTCCTCATACACACGGGGATCCAGTACACAAACCACAGCACATACAGGACAAATCATCAAAGCAAGAGCAATGCACACAATTCTATTGTAAGCTAATCGTTTGTTCTACTTACTTAATCCTAGGCTCTCACATTCAATACCTTTTCTTGCAGTATTCTGAACGCTCTTGGGAAAGGACTTCAGCATATGTGCATTTCTTTTCTCCTTGATGTGAAAACAAAAAAAAAAAAAAAGAAAGAAAAAACAAAATTAAAAAAAGTGATTGCACAGTGCAAAGGCTTCGAGTTGCTTGTTAATCGTTTCCACTTACCTGAGATTTCTTTTGCAGAGGTGTTGCAGTCAGTTCCATTAATAGACTCTTCTTGAATGCACTGGTTTTTCTGTTCTCACGTTAGAAATTTCCACTGGAGAGACAGTAGCACTCCTGGTGATGGCGAATCAGACCACAGATATTCCAGTTTTTTTCACTGATATGCAGTCAGTTAATCAGTAGGGCTTCAGCTTCTCTACTCTGTTGGCTTCTATTACTTGACACCAATTTTTAGCCACCGAGTTTTCTGACATGAACGGGGAAGCAAGTAAGTGAGAGATGGAGCCATCGATGATTTTAGGCTTCCAAAGAAGAAACAAAAACAAAAACAAAAACATCTGGCATTTTCAGGATAGTAAATATCCTTCAAATTCAAAAAGAACTCTTGTCTAACCGTACACTGAAAAGTGCTATTTCCATGTCCAGCTATGATGGATCTTCTGATCACTTTTCTTATTATCATTGAGATGGAGAAGGAGTATTACAAGAAGAGTGAATGGAAAACATCATACATATACACATATACCATTCATATCAATCAATTGAGCCTTGTTCCTTGATCTCATGTAAAGACACAGGAGGCAATATTTCAGCCTCTCTATGTGGATAAAAATATGTGCCACTGAAGCACTGCTTTAAACAGACTTCAAACAGATTTGGAGCTCCTGCTATTAGGTAGGGATATGTTGAAAGCAAATAAAGAAACAACAACAACCAAAAAAAACACTACCTGATAAGTTTTGAATACATCTGCTTTCACTTTAAGAATAATGATCTTTGATTTCCACAGTCAGTGCTTCACCGATACCTGAAGCTTCTATAAGAAAATCAGATCAATTCTTGTGACAGAGCAGTTGATCGATGTTGATGGGCACTTCTATGAAGTGCAAGTGAAAGATCTTGATCTATTTTCCCTGGAAATAAGATGAATCTCATGCTCCTATGGGGCCCATCAGATGGAGACATGGATCAACAGTGTTCTAATGAGATGGGAATTCTCTGGTTCCTTTCATCAGAGTAGATGTGACACAAATAGAAGGCAAAACCCCACATTTGTTTTTTCTTCTAAGCTCCAGAAGTAAACAAGAGCTGGGAGTTAACCTGCTTTGTCTCTTACTTTCCTATTCTTTGCTCTTCAGATCATCTGTGGCAACCCAAATCCCAGAACTGCTTTTGTTCTGACTGCAGGGACCTTAATGATTTGTTGCCTCCAGTACCATTCCTCTGGGTTTTTACATGAGGCTGATCAGTTTGCTGGGGCAGTCCTAAAATGCACATCTGTGTGTGACCAAGGGATCTAAAATATTCTCTTTCAGTGAGGAGATTCATGGACTCCTGTGTATGATTTTATTTATCTTAGGTAAGATAAGTTCATTAAGGAAAGCCATAAGCATCATATAGCAGAAAGTTCCAGGCCCCATAGACATCCATATGTCGTTCCACGAGGAAACTCACACGTACTGTGTGGAGATAATGTAACAGAGCAGCAATAATAAACCTCTCAGACACGCTTGTTTTTGAGGCATTTAATGTAAATGCAGAATAAATGATTCCACATATCCGAAGATATATATTAACAGTGGGCAAACACATTAATCTTTAAATAAAATACCGTAATAATAATATAAAAAAAAAAAAAAAACCACAATATAATGACTATCTAAACTTAGGGAAAATAATGCTGAGTTGAATCCCATTTACAGGTACAAATTAAAATGTTCATATTCAGGTGTTTGCTCCCGTTGTTCATTCTCTGCCATATGCCACCTGGACTCCCCGTGCTGCCATAGAAGAGCAAAGTTTCCAGGTGATTCTCTGTTGTCACGGAGTTAACTAGTTCAATCTGTGTCCGTGACAGGGGGCAGTAGGCCCCTGCCCTCCCCGCCACCTGGTCCCACAAAATGGGAAGGAAGGAAGGGAGAAAAAAACAGCAGCAACAGAGGAAAACTGATTTTACTAACTATGATATCGGAATGCAAGGTAACACAATGTAATACAATCTAATTGAAATTGAGACTAATAAATAAGATAGGAGAGAGAGAGTTCCGGAGGCCAAGTCAAACCTGAAAAGCTTGGAACGGCTGGGAAAGCACCTCCAGCACCCACTGCCAGGCAGTAAGAGAGCGCCCACCCGAAGGGCCAGATCCCGTGGCTTCCGTGCTGTACAGGGATAGGTACCTGGAATTGGAGCACTAACACCTTAATGCCTGTACACTACATGATGTTTTGATGCGGAACACCGAAAACCAAAAAAACATAAAGCCACGACAGTTGTCATATCTCAGTGTGTGTGCCCATGGTGCCTTGAAGCAATCTGAATTGCACGGCAGGGCTCAGGGAACTCCACCTTACCCTAAAAGCTTTCCTTTTAGGAGGAGGTTTTCTCATTCAGAACGTTCACTTCTTCACAGAAGTTTGATAGTGCTGATGATGCCTGAGGAAAGTCCAACCGTTTTTACTCCTTAGTGCCATTTGACTTGTTTCTCAGCAACATTGGCAGAACGTTCAGAGTTTTTTATAGGACTAGTCTGCCTGCACACAGAGGTCCAGATGGGATTCTGAAGTTTCATTCAAGTTTGCCCTGATCTGAAAAGAAAGTCTGCCCTTGCTTGCAAACATATCTGCTAAGGTCAGCAATCTAGCTCCTAAGAGGTTTTCTATCACAGTTTTGCTGATGTTTCTTACTAGTTGGGTCATATGCTTGATATGATAATCCATGCTGTAAAGGAATTCAGGAGATCTTTTAGGACAACCTCTTACCCAATTCAGAGTCAGTTATGAGGTCTGACCAGGTTGCTTAGGGCTTTATCTAGGAGTATCTTGAAAATCTCCAGGGATGTAGACTACAACTGTTAGTGCCTGACTTCCAATGCAGTGCGTGGAACCTCTTTTTTCATCAAATCGTAGAACAGCTTCGGTTGGAAGAGACGTTGTATGGGAGCTGCTGAGTCACAGCCTGAACCTGATTGATCACCTGAGGCGAGCACTGAGTCAGCCAGGGGAGCACAGGTGAAGGCAATTCTCCTGTGCTGCTGGAAGGGGTGCAGCCTGGCTGCACCTCTCCTACACCCATTTAAGAGCTGACTGCCAGTAGGGAAGGATCGTTTCTGGAGATCCACTCTGCTGGAGTTTTATAAGCAAGCCCAGGATATGGGTAAGTGTCCTATCTATTCTCTTTTTGTTATTATGACCTGCTTTGCCTACCTCTTTTGTTTATTTCATAATTATAATATTCACTGATTATACAGATGTCAAAGATCATCTACTTGCCACTCAATAAAGCAGGTTGCCTTGGGCTCTATCCAACCTGATCTTGATTGCTTTCAGGAATGAGGTGTCTATAGCTTCTCTGGAAAACTTGTTTCAGTGCCTCACTACACTCTTTTCAACTTTTGTCTGCTATCTCTTTCTCCTGCTGTGTACTACTGTGAGGTTGGAAGGGGTCTCTGAAGGTTGCTTGGTCCACTCTCTCTGCTCAAGCAGGGACATTTGGAGCAGGTTGTCCAACAGCATGTCCAGGTGACTTCTGAAGATCACCCAGGAAAGAGATTCCCCATCTCTGGGCAAACAGTCCCAGAGCTCCATCTCTTGCATAGTAAAGAACTGTTTCCTGATGTTTAGATGGAACCTCTTGTGTTCCAGTTTCTGCCCATTCCCTCTTGTCCTGGCACTGGCAGTACTGAAAACAGCCTGGCTCTGTCTTCTTTGCATCCTCACTTCAGGTACTGTTAGACATTGACAAGATCCTCCCTGAGCCTCCTCTTCTCCAGGCTAAATAATCCCAACTCTCTGCCCTCATAGAAGGGGTGCTCCAATCCCAAGATCACCTCCACAGCCCTACGCTGAAGTCTTTCAAGTATGTCCAGATTTCTCTTATACTGAAATGTTCAGAACAAGATGCAGTACTCCAGCTGTGTCCTTGCTGGTGCTGAGTAGAGAAGAATCCCCTTTCTTGAAATGCTGGCAATATTTTGCCTAACGCAGCCAAGACTGTCATTAGTTTTCTAAGTGGTGAGGGACCATGCTGACTCCTGTTCAGCTTGGTGTCCACCAGAACTTTTCTGCAGTGCTGCCTTCCAGCTGAGTGGCCCCATCATGCACTTGTGCCTAGGGTTGTTCATTGCCAGCTTCAGGACTTTGCACTTCTTGTTGAGCTTGTCACATACTTGTCAGCCTACACTTCCAGCCTGTCAGGGTTCCTCTGAATGGCTACGCAGCCCCCTGATGAGTCAGGTCAGCCACTCCCCATGCAGTTTTGTGTAATCTGTGAATTTTCTGAAGGTGTGCTCTACTCTGATGTCCAGATCCTGTACTGACTCCTGGGCTACTCCATTCATTACTGGTCTTCAGTCTGACTTTGCAGCACTAATCACAGACCTCTGGGTCTGGCCATACAGTCAGTTTTTGACCCAAATAATCTGCTCATCCAGTCCATACCTCCAAAAACTCATTGTTTTATTCTCCATAAACTCTCCTTCCTGGAGATTTGGTAACTACTGCCCACGTTCCCAAAGCATTTATACTCCTCATAGGGATCAGCGAAACTATCTGCTTCACCAGCTCCATTCTACAGATTTGTGTTATTTTCTGCCTGAGCTTCAGTGAATATTTCATGCAGTCTGTCAGAGTTTGACTGCTATTTAGCTGCATGCTTCCCACTGCACTAAGCACTTGCATGAGCAGCATTCTCTCTACTCAGCTAGCCCTTTGCAGATGGGTTTGTGGTTTTCCAGCCATTCCTCTTCCGGTCATTCTGGTTAGCGCTTACTTTCTTTGGCTGTAATTTCAGTCATGTTTTTTGTGGCATTGCTTCTTGGGCTACTCTTTCCTTCGATTCCACCTCTATGGTTGACATGACAGCTTTCATCACCTCTATTTTTGTTATTCCTGGATCATGCTCATTTTCCCTTACTGCCTACACTTACAACTTACAAAGGAAGGCATGTGCCTTACCAGTGCAGCCACTGTGTCTTAAAGGTCTCTGTGCAAGACAGTTGTCTGCACTGTTGCGGTAAAAGGAGTAGGCTGACTTTTAGCTCATAGAGTAGATGGCTAGAGAGTCCCTCACTGGGGACCTCCTCATCTTCCTGGTCACAGCGCATCCCACCCTGCACATGCCCATGTACTTCTTCCTCCGGGTCCTGTCCTTCCTGGATATTTCCACAGCATCCGCTGTTGTTCCCAAGATGTTGGTAAGCTTCCTGCCAGAGGGCAGGAGAATTTCCTACATGGGCTGTGCCACACAGCTCTACTTTGTCATTTTCTTGGGGGCCACCGAATGCTACGTTTTGGCAGCTATGGCCTATGACTGCTACGTGGCCATATGCAACCCCCCCTTCGATGTGCCATCATCATGAACAACAAAGCCAGGCTTTCCCTAGTCCTGCTGTCGTGCTGCAGTGGTAACGTAGTGCATTTTTATCTTTTACCTTGACTGTTTTTAATTGCCCTGATAAGCTTTTAAACAAATAGTAAACTGAATGTATCTCAGAGTGTACTTAGTAACTTTGTGCTTCATCTGTCCTCTTTTTGTGTATATGAACTACTAATAAGTAACTCAGCATTCCTGGTACATCACCTTGTATCACTCTGGGGATGGAGGCTTTTTCCTTTTGTGAATTTTTAACCTTGCTGCATGGAAGACATATACATTATTTCATTGAGAAAGATACTTTCTCCACCCTGACCCACAACATCTTTTAATAGATGAGCATCTCATTATTTGACAGGGGCGGAAAGGCAAGAGGAAAAACTACATTCCAGTCTTTCCAAGCAAAGAAGCAAACCTGCAAACAGGCAAACAAAAGCAAAGACATTCTTATACAGTAAAGTCATTGCAGGAGAGACTACAGTTGTCTTGGACAGATACGTCATCAGCCAGGAGATAATGCCATTGGTATTCTGCATCTCTCTTTCACTAGTTCCTTTTGCCACAAATAACAGTTTTTGGCAAAGTGACAGAAAGCACTTACCTGTAAGAGATGCCAGGACACAGGAGTATTCATTTAGGTAGAGGGAGGAAAATTGCTCTCTTTCTCTGTGAGAACCCAATCTCCTGCACAGCAAATGAATGCCATTTCACCTGGTACTTGAGAGCAGGTTGGCCAGATTTCCCAGCATTCTTCTGCCTCATATTTTCATCCAGCACACAGACACAACTTGAAGCAAACTCAGCATTCTGTCTTCCAAGAGTGGGAAGGAACAATACGTGTTGTTTGGTGGATTTACCTCAACAGAAATAAAATATCACAATGAGCACTGAAATACCTCTCTAGGGATTAATTTTCACTGAACTGTCTTGCTGCTTCCTAGGAACAAATAGTAGAAACAAATACAATTGCAAATGTATGAACTGCCTTCTTTAGAAGTAGAGAACCTGCTGAGCCCTTGGTCCTGGCTAAGAATTCTAAAAGCCAGAGCTTCCCACATTTGTGAGAAGGCATCACAGACTGCCACTGTCGTGGCAGCTGCCAGAAATTCCAAGTGGGAGAGAATTTGACAGGCTTCTTCTCAAATGGGTTCCATCTTTGAATTGTTATCTTACATCTTATCCTCTCACTCCACCACTTTTGTTTTTTCCCCATTACCTCTCATCCTGTCATGGGGTGTGAATGAGAAGAGTCTGGCTCCATCTGTTTGGACTCATTTCCTTTCCTCCTTTATCATTTAGGTGAGTGCACTCAGAATATTCTAGTTAATCCTGATTGTGAGTGAGCTGTTGGCATCTACACATACATCATGCATTGCACCACAAATCCAGCAGCAGAACTTCTGTACATTGCATCCAAGGCACAAGGCAGCTCTCTGTGGTAAGTCCCTTAGTTAGCTAAAATACAGGTTTATCTTTCTTGTCTCTTTGGAAGACACCAGGAGGAGTTTCCAGGCCACCAGATGTAGACACACAGATTTCCTTCAGACTTGCAGTCCCTGTAGCTGGCTGTGCCTGGAGTGCTGCCAGGGTCTTCTCTGAGCCACCAGATGCTGCAATAAAAAGAAAGCACTGTGAAAGAATATCTTAAAATACAGCGACTGCTGAGACTCCGATGGAAACACATTCTCCAGCCCTCCACCCATCTCTGCAGGAAGGCAGGGTAGCAGCACTGCTTCCCAGCCCTACGTCCCCGAACGGCGTTTGGCTGCATTCCTTCCCAGGTGCTGCGGCATGCAGCTCCATCTCTGCCCGCAGCTTCCTGCAGAGGTCAGCCCTCCTCCTCTGTGTTACAGCAGGGAGGATTCTGCTCCAGATCCGCTCCTGTGTCCGTCTGCTCGCTGCTCCCGCTGCAGGCTGCGTTCTCTGGTGAGTTCCTCTTTGCATCCATCCTTCCAGCCCTGCGCTGTTTCCATGTGCACGATCCTTTATCTGTGCTTGCCGCACCCCAGCAAAAGGCTTACTGGCTTCTGTCTGTCTGTGCTGCCGTGTCAAGGCAGCTCGGCCAGGCCAAGGGCTACAGGAACAGTATGACTTTATGCTTCTCTGGGCAGTGAATCTGCATGTCTGTCCTTTGCTGCTCTCAGGGCTTCTGCATGTGACTAAGGAGCAAATGTGCCCTCAGTGCAAAAATGGAACTGGTTTGTGGTGCCTGCATGTCTGGGACCTCCACAGCTGAGGACAAAGATACGCAAGTTAAGGTTGAAATTCTCCTTGAGACATATGCACAGAGATGGTGATATTCAACAATTCAGAATTACATAAACCAGGGTGTACAGATGTATCTATTTTCTTAATAGATTCCTTAAAGTTGATCAATAATTCTACTACGAGCAAGGAAACATTATGCTTTGTCAGTCCCCTTCTTGTGGTAACATTCACCAGTTTATTCTTGTGTCTTGAGCCATTCAGGCACTTCCTCCTCCTTTTCCAATTCCCCAGAAGGTCCTCTGATTGAATACCTTGCAGCTGCCCCTGCAGCAAGGAGTTCAGACTGCGTCTTCCTCAGTATTCCTTTCCCATACAGGCATTTCTCACTGGGATCTGAGAACTGTAGTGTGCTGGGAGCTGCTTATCCCAGTAAGAAGGACGCTCAAATGCTTTAGAGCATCATTTACAAATGACTTTTCCTATAGCTAGCACAGTAAAGAAATAGGGCATATAAAGAGAATGATAGAACCATAAAATTGCTGAAGGGTAGCATGAAACATGGATGTTTGGACATTCTGTCGTTTCCAAAATAGACACATGGTGCCAACATGTATAGCACAGGACCTATGGGAGACAGGCATCATTCTGCAGAGGCAGTCAGACTGGATTTCCTTATTTCTGTGAGGCCGCTCACCTGCACTATGGCTCCACGATGCAAAGCTATGACCACTGAGCTGAGGCTCTGAGCAGTTCAGATCAGTGATATGTACAGGGACTAGCTGTCTCTAGATGCTTGTCTTTAGGTGTTGAATTGACCTGTCAGTCACGAACTTGGCAATATTTAGCATCCTCTCCCTCACGTTCTACATTTGCTTGTCAACTCCTTCAGTGCTTATCTGCCTCCTGTTTCCCTGGATGGCCATCCATGTATCCAGCTACAAATTTATTCATCTGTTCTCCTGCCCAGTTTCCTATATCTTCACATTTTCCTACCATTCAGACCTGCTGACACTAAATACAGCCCTCCCCAGCCAGCCAGCAGTGCCACCTTCCTCACACAAATCCACGCAGCCACCCAGACCATGCTTCATCTGTTCTGCCTGTCCAGCCCTCTGTCCATTTCATCCTGTCAGCACTGGGGCTAGTTTTGTCTGGCTGCAGCTGTCAGTGCTTAGGCCCAAGCTGTTGCCTTGTGTCTCAGCCTGTGACCCACCATTTCTGCCACTTTCTCTGTGGTCTCACATGAATTAAGCACCACCACACCCTGAAACCAAGAGATATTTTTGGCACCTGCAATTTGCATTTTACTCCTATTAATCTGCTCAAAGGCTCTCAAGAGAGGGACAAAACAGTATGTGATGGCAAGAGCCATCTTGGCCATGATGTATGTTGGTGGAAGGGGCCCACTTTTTGTCATTAGATCCTCGTAACTTCATTTATGCTCATTTCCACACAGAACCTGTCTTTAACCAGTCAGGATGAGAGTAAGTGGCACCCTGAGCAAGCAGAGGAGGTATGGAGGTGAGCTGGGGTCAGGAGGGTGATGTCTGTGAAGAGTGGGGAAGATTTTTGCTGGGAAAGTGATGTGGAAAGGAACTCTTTTCTTGGATGGCTGAGAGGGAAGCACACCTTACTATGCTCTGAGAACTCGAGGACATGGCCTGTAAGCAGCCTTCACTTATTCTGAGTTGCATAGCAAAAGGAGCGCGGCTCATTTCACCCATAGTGCTGAGGGCTTTCCAGAGAAGCCATCAAGAAGTGGGAAGATGATACAGATTTTCTGTGACTGCCTTTGATGCTATGCTAAGCCCCCATGATACGGTCTCCCCTTCCTTTCCAGCAGTGCGAAATGAGTAGTACATCTGATTAAGTTAATCTCACTGGAACATTAGTCTCAAAGAAGGTAGTGGCTTAGATAGATGAGGATCTGTGGTCCCAGGGAAATATGTTGGCTGCCTTGGGAACCTTCTGTTGCTGTTTGTCAGCTCTGCATCAGCATTTCTTTGGCAGGCGTGAGCACACAGCTGTAGATCTTTGCAAGCAGACACTAGAAAATTAAATTCTCTACAGGCATTCAGGGAGTTCTACAACTGCTGTGTATTCCTCAGGCTTGTTCTCAAGAGGAACATGGTTCTTTTCTTCCTATCCCGAAATGGAGCTTGAATCTGTGACAGTAAATGTAACAATCCAGGACTTTGTGGCTGATGTGGCATCTGAGATGTTCTTCTGCAATAAACAGCAAATCTCTAGGGAGATCATGTTCATCTTTCCTGTGGACTCTGACATTGTTGTACACACCTTCCATGCCACCATGGGGGACACTCGTTGAAGCAATGCTCTGGGACAAGAAGGAGGTACTCCAATGGAGTGAGGGGGAGGTGGGGTGGACCTGGAGTTAAGTTTGGAGAGAAGAGAATGAAATGTGTGAGACCTCAGCAACATGTTTTTCCCAATTTTTTTGTGGCAGGCACAGCAACTGTACAAAGCCACTCCAGGCATGGAGAATTTGAGATATCTGCAGGATCAGTGGGATCTTTGGGGTCCAGTGTTTGCTTGTTTCCTGGGGACTGTGCCTCCTAACAGAGAGGTGGCCATCAGCTTGTGCTATGCCCAGGAGCTTCCATTGCATCCTGATGGAGCTGCCAAGTTTTGCTGGCCAAAGAAGCTATTTCCTCAAGAAAAATTCATCAGTGAGTGATCCCACGAGTGTTTCCATCTGGGAGGAGCACGGTTCTCTCAAGTATCTCTCTGGGAAGTATCCCATACCTACACACACAGCACGGTTGGAGAACCTAAAAATTCTCCCTCATACTTGCCAGTCAGAAGTCCTCCAGTTATCCCTATATACCTCCAGACAGGAGATCCCTGCAGATCCCTATGCACAGCCCACCATGACAGATCATAGAATCATAAAACCATGTAATAGATTGAGTCAGAAGGGACCTCAAAGATCATCTAGTTCCAACCCCCCAGCCATTTGCTGATTCTCACCCACCAGCTCAGGCTGCCCAGGGCCCCATCCCACCTGACCTTGAGCTCTTTGGGCAGCAGTGCCAGCGCCTCACCTCCCTCTGAAGAAAGAACTTAAATGAGTATTGTTACCCAGGCCATTGGGAATGATGGAACCCTGTTCCTGACCCCAACATGGTGACTCTCCCTGTCAGTATTCCAAACATTCTCCCAAATCCTTGTCTTTCCCTGTTCTTCTCTTTGCCTTGATGGGACTTCATCAGTGACCTCCACACATGCCTATCTCACCTCACTAAGACTACCTGTATTCTTCTCCTACTCGACCTCTCTTGCAATTTGTCTAGGCTTCTCTCATCACTTCATAATTGCTGTCTGCTGCCGTGGCTTCTTCCCTTTCAACTTTTTGTCCCTACAGGATGGCACCTATCTGAAGAGGAGATATCAGAAGACCTGCACTTCAGAATCTGTCTGCAGTCAGCCCATGGTGTGTCACATATTGACGTTAACAGCAGCTGCACCACTCTGCAGTACACAGCTCCAGATCAGACGTCTGCTGAGGTTTGGCCCTGAAAGATGCCAATCCCAAAGGAGGAAAGAAAGAAGGGTCTGCAGTCTGCTGATGATTCTTTTTCCTACACATGCCCCGCTTATTCTCAGGTTTCATTGACATCATTGCCCTGTCTCACTGGTAAGTTGGAATTGTTGGTGTATTATGGAGGGCTTCACAATCTCAGTGCTGTGGTGGAGAGCCGAGACCCCAAAGCTGCATCTGGTGAGTGTGGAGGGCAGAACTGAGCTCCAGGTGTTGAGGAGACTTGAAGAATCTGAGGGACATTTGGGCAGTAAGTTTGTCAAATTATAGAATCACAGAGTATCCAGAGTTGGAAGGGGCCCTCACTCGTGTCCAACTCATACTTCCACACAGGACTACCTAAAATTAAACCATGCTCCTGTGAGATTTGTCCAAATGGTTCTTGAACTCCGGCAGCTTGGTGCTGTGACCACTGCCCTGCAGAGCCTGATCTGTGCCCACCACCCTCTGCTGTAGAACTTGTTCCTAATCCCCAGCCCGACTCTTCCCTGACATGGCTACATGCTGCACCCCAGGCTACAACTGGCCCCTTTTGGCAGCCAGGGCATACTGCATCGCTGGTCATCAGCTTGTCACTGGCCAAAATCACCAGATCCTTTTCTATAGGGCTGTTCTCCATCTTCTCATCTGTAAGTCTGTACATCAATCAAAGATGATCCTATCCTAATTGCAGAATCCAGCAGTCTGCTCCTTAAATTTCATACTGTTGGTGGTTGCCCAGCACTCTAGTATATCACAGTGTCTCTACAATGATGAAGGGACTCAACAGCTCTTTCTCATTTAGTATCATAAGCTGGAGCTGAGGGCAATCTGTATGAGAAAAGCAAAGAGACAAGGAAAAGTGCTGCAACCTAAGAATCCTCCTTTTTTCCCCCACACGCTTCAGGCTCTCTGCTGGGAGACCCTGTGGTGATGGTGACAGAGAGCAAGGGAGTGAGCTGGGGAAGGCTGTCTGCATTTTAGAAGGGTGACTTTCTTCTGTGGGGACCCATGATATCTTTGATCCCCTCTTCTCTACCTCAGCTCTTCATCTTCATCCAAAGGAAGGTCTCCAGTGAAGAGCAAGCTATCATCGCTGAGGTTCACCGTTACCGGGACTACCATTGGTACTGAGAGAGCCCTGTTCCTGTCCCCCAGCATAGTGACTCCCCCGTCAGTCTTCCAAACATCCTCCCAGATTCTCATCTGTTACAGTTCTTCTCTTTGCCTTGATGGGATTTCATCAGTGACATCCACACACACCTGTCTTACTTCCCCAAGACCATCTATACTCTTCCTCTAGTAGACCTAGACCTTCTCTCAGAATTTGTCAGGCTCTTCTCAGCGTTTTTCCTCTTCCCTCTGTAACCTTCCTCTCATTTTCTGTACAGGTGTTTCCGTTTTCCTAAAGACAAGCGTGAGAGCTTTTACGTTTCCCAGGCCATTGCTCTGGAGACCAAAGGCAAATGTGTGCATCCACTCCAAGATAACCATGACATCCGAGGTAATGATCTAGATGCTTCTGCTTTCAGTGTTCCCCCTGTTCTATTGAACACTTCCTACAGCTCTCCTAGATGTGCAAGGAAATCTGAATACCATCATCCACCCCAATTCAGAGACTCTCCAATGGTATGTTCTCTTTGCATCTCTCATCAGGCAGTGAAATGCCTGCAGCAGGCCCTGCAGCCCGTGGCAAGTGAGATCTCACTGCACTGGGATCTTCCACCAGGCCTGGAGGTGACAGTGATCAGAAAAGCTCCTGAGACAATCTTCCAGGGACATCAGGGCATCGTCTATGCCCAGATCCATGGGCAAGCACAGGTAAAGTGACTGCTCGGGTCCAGGGCAGAACTAAAGGACCTGCTCCCTGTTTCACCTCCTCAATGTTGAGAGTCCTTCGCCTCTGCTAGATGGGGGGGAACAGTATCATGTCTTTGTGAGTCCTTTTCTTTCCCTCAGAGGTGTTACTGCCTCTGCTCCTACAATGGATATCTACTAATTTAGTGTATCAGTGAGTGAACCTAAGTAGCCAGTCCCCCAGTGCCCTGCAGGTGAACTTTTCTGTGGTTCTTTCACTTGTGCCACCAGGATCCAGAGGCAGGTGTGGCAGCTGTGACCCTTCAGTATCGTGTGGGCAGCCAGCCCTTTCATTACACACTCAGATTCTCAATGTCTCCATCAGCAGATGACAGGTAAGAGGGGTAATACCGTTGCCCACAAGGCAGAGGGATATTGTCTAGGGCTGGAAGAGGGAAAGCAAATATCATTTGTATGCATACCCTGAGAAGGGAAGAGACTCTGGATACCCAGTGCTCACACCTTGTCCCACTCTGCCTTGACCAGGGAGAGGATCTGGGTGACCATGAGCTCCTGCTCTTTACTCTGTGTCTCATCCATGTCTCACCTTCCTCCTCAGCATGGAAACAAGGACTAATTCCCTTCCCCAGCAGGTTTCCTGTGCACTGCATAGCCATGATGCATCTGTTTTGGAAACTGACCTGGCAGGGGTCAAGCAAGTCAGAGATGGAGGACATCTGGCACAGTGCAGTTAAGCTCAGCCTCAGCCTGGGGGTCCCGTCTGCCTTCACATCAGTTGTGGTAGTACACATGGAACAGAGGGATACTGGGCACCATGGTAAGGCCACAAAAAGCAGGGATAGGACTGGGAGGGGAAAGTGAGACTTGCTGGTCTGATGGTTCCTTGCCATCAGCAGCCCCATATCTGTGGGTGTGACCAGCTTTTTGCCTCTCTAAAATGCGTGAGTCTAACTTCCACTTCCCCTCTTCTTGCCTCCTCCTCCAGATTCTTTGCTTGCAGATTCCTCCATGCTTCTTTCTTTCTCTTGCAATCTGGTTCCCTGCCAGTTCCTCTGGTTGTGTGGCTCCAGGCCTGTATGGTTCAAGTCCACCAAATTTTGGATGGTCCAGAAGTTCCAGCTCTGTCTCGAGACGCTGAGTCCCAAGGCCTCTCACACGGAGGTATTGTCCCAGCTTTCAGCACACTGTAAAAGTAAGGAGAAAGTTCTTATCAGGGGATTCTCTGATGTATTGCGCAGGGGTTAAACTCTCCTTTCAGTATTTATTTTTTCACCAGAACTCCTGATTGTCAGTGCTCTGGGGATGGATGGAGAGATAGCCAAAAAAAATTTCTACCTCTCGACTCTGGGCTAGAAACTAAGAACCAGCTAGTTCCTTGAATTAATCTGAGTTCCAGCTATCATGATTCTTGTCGCTCTATTCCAGCTCAGAATATTCTACAATTCTAAGTTTGTTACAAAACATCTTCATGGTCTTGCACCACATCCTTATCTTCAAATTGGAGAAATATGGGTTTGAGGCCACTTTTGGAGTGGCCTATGTACAAGACTATGGGGGCCGATGATTTCCATCATAAGGTCTTCAAGGAACTGATTGATGTGGTTGCCAGGACACTCTCCGTCACGTTTGAAAAGTTGTGGCTGTCAGATGAAAGCCTCAGTGACAGGGAAAAAGGGAAACATCACTCCTATTTTTAAGAAGGGTAGAAAGGAAGACTGACAAAACTACAGACTGGTCAGCCTCACTTCTGTGCCTGGAAGATCACGGAACAGACCTCCTGGAAGATATAGTAAAGCATCTGAGAGATGAGGAGGTGATCTGAGACATCCAGCACAGCTTCACCAAGGGCAGGATAGTGTCTTAATAATCTGGTGGCGTTCTGTGATGGAGTGATGGCACCAGTGGACAAAGGAAGAGCAACTGATGTCATCTACTTCCACTTCTGCAAAGCCTTTAACATGGTCCCACATCACATTCTTATCTCTATTTAGGTGAGATATGGATCTGAAGAATTCACTATTCAGTGGATAAGTAATTGGTTGGATGGTGACAGCCAAAGTGTTGTTGTCAATGGCTCTATGTCCAGGTGGAGGCCAGTGGCAAGTGTTGACCATGGGTGTTCATCTTCAGACATATACTCTTTGGCATCTTTACCAATGGTATAGGCAGTGGGATCGAGTACACCCTCAGCAAGTTTGCAGATGACACCAAAAGGTGCTGGACCCAAACAAACTTAGGAAATGGAGCTGAATGAACTGAATGAGGTTCAGTAAGACCAGTCTTGCAAGGTGCTGCACCTAGTGCAGATTTCCTGTGGGAAATCCACAGCATGTATAGACTGGGAGAAGAACTCGTGGAGAGCTTCTTTGCATAGATGGACCTGGGAGTTCTGGTGAATGAAAAGACTGACACAAGCCAGCAGTGTCCTGGACTACATCACAAGAGATATGGCCAGGAGGATGAGGGAAGTGATTATCCTGTTCTGCTCTGCCCTTGTGAGGCTCCATCTGAAGAACTGCATCCACAACTGAGGCCTCCATCACAAGATAGAAAAGGTATTTGTTAGAGTGGATACATGGGAGGGCCTCAGAGACAATCAGAGGGCTGGAGTACAAAGAATGGCTGAGACAGCTGGAGTTGTTCAGCCTGGAGAAGGCTTCAAGGAGGTCACATTGCAGCCTTACAGTACTTAAAGGAAGCTTATAAAAAACAACTTTTTACATGGTCTGATAGTGAAAGGGGAATGGTTTTAAACTAAGAGAAGGGAATTAGAAGAGTTAGATAATAGGAGGAAATTCTTTACTCAGAGTGTGATGAAGCACTGGAACAGGTTGCCCTGAGAAGCTGTGGATGCCTCATCCCTGGAGGCATTCAAGGCCAGTTGATGGAGCCCTGGGCAGCCTGAGCCGATGGTTGGAAACTCTGCCCATGGCTGGGGTGATTGGAAACAGAAGGTCTTTAAGGGCCCTTTTAACTCGACTTATTCTATGATTGTATTCTATGAACTGCAGAATAGAGAGAGTACCTGAGACACCGATGAGGACAAAAAAGGACTTTCAAGTGAGGCATCCAGAATTAGATGAGCCTGAATCTATTGTCCAAGTAGAGAGGAAAAGGCATGTAATAGTTACTGGAAACTCTCTCCTGCAGTGTGTGGGGGTACTCACCTGGCAACTCAGCTTGATATTTCTGAAAGCATGTTGCTTCTCAGAGGTCAGGACCAAGGAACTCTCAGAGACTGTCAAGGTTCTTCTGGCTCATGGGCCTATCACTGCTCTTTCATGTGGACAGCAATGACACTATCAGGGATAAACTGGAGCCCTGGTGGAGAGGCTGAAAACCATGAGAGCCTACATTACTTCTGCAAATAGGTTTGCTCTTCTAATGAGGAATGCAAAATAAGTGCACTGGGGAAGACCAGAAGGAAATTGAGGGCACAAGGGATAAAGCAGATGTTTAGGAGACAGAGGAGGTTCTCACGTTTCCCTGAAAAAGCTATGTGATATTGGAGGCATCTCAAATGTTTGTAGAGAAACACACAGAGAATGGGGAACAGATAGGAGGAAAACTGTACTGCTGCAGAAACACGACCTCTTCAGAATTAGAGGAAATTAGTAGAAATCTGATGGGTAGTTCTCTAGATTGAATTTATTCTATGGATTGACAAAATAAGGTGGATGGATTAAGAAAATATAAGGCGGGAAGCTAAGAAGAATGGGTCATACTTGACGCAAACAAGTGGCTAGAATCACAGAATGGTTGAGGTTGGAAGGGACATATGGAGGTCATCCAGTCCCAATTCCCTGCTCATACAGGCTCACTAAATCTGATTGCTCAGGACCACATCTAGAAGACTTTCAAGCACTCCCACAGAGGGAGACTCCACAGCCTCTCTGAATACCTATTTCAGTGCTCTGTCACCTACACAGCAAAGAAATGTTTCCTCATGTTCAGAAGGAACCTCCTGTGTTCCAGTTTGTATCTCTGTAATCTTCCTGGGATCTACAACCCACTGTCTACAATTTTTTTTTACTTTTATTTTTTTTTAATTTTAGCATCATGAGGAAGTCCTGACTCAGTCACACTGGTCTCTCTTTTCCATTGCCCAATTTCTTGCATGTTGGAATTGAGAGTTCTTGTACCCTAAGAAAAATATCTTTAAATATATCCAAGATTTCTTCTGCTTCTTTACTTCTGAAAGCAATTTCCCAGGAGATTCCATCCATCAATGCTCAAACAACTGAAAGTTTGCCCACCTGAGGGTAAGGGTCTTGCCCTGTAGCCTGGCCTATACTCCTCAAAATCACTACTTCTACTGGGGCGTGATGACTGCAGCCATGCTACATCCAGCCCACTTCACTGAGTTCTCTGTATTGTGACACAGTAACACGTCTCTTCTTGTTGACTGGGCTTTCTATCCTCCGGTCTAAGAATCTATCCTCAACACAACCCAGGAGTGTGGGAGTCCCAGGGGTCTCCTAGACTGCTTGCAACCTGCTGTGCTACTTTCTTCCAGAAGATGCCTAGGTGGTTGAAATCTCCTAACAGGATCAGAGCCCACTGGCATGATGCTTCCTGTGGGTGAAGACATCCTCCCCCTGTAACAAACGTCAACCATCAAGTTTCCTTTATTGAACTGACTAGCCAGTGCTTATCTCAAAGGGACTGTGTGAATATTTCTGTTTTCCAGAGCAGGAGTCTTCTCCTAAGGAGCAGATGATAGAAGAACCAACAGCTTTTAACACCAGTTGGGTCTGGACAATTTCACCACTGTCAACAAAACTGTGTAACTTCTCCAGTACCAGGATAGTAGTGGCACTCCAGAAAGCAAATGGGTCCTGGGCCCTCACCTCAGCCCTGATCTCTGCCTTGGGGCTCAGGAAGGCTGATGTGGAGGGACAAAGTCTCAGTAAGGTAAGTAGATCAGTGTCAAGTGTGGGGAAATGTCACAAGCTGAGCTTTTCTTAGCTCCAAGTTTACAATATGAGTTGAACAGACAGGAGATGAAAACCTTCAGTATATAGAGCCTCTCTACTTGTGGAAAGATTGGATCAGCACAGGTATCTTTTTCATGGTCTGATAATAATAGGACAAGAGGCAGTGGTTTTAAACTAAAAGAGGGGAGATTTAGATAAGGGGTTAGGAGGAAACTTTTTACTCAGAAAGTGATGAAGCTCTGGCACAGGTTTCCCATAGAAGCTGTGGAAGCTCCATCCCTAGAGGCATTCAAAGTCAGATTGGATGGGATCTGGCGGGTGGGAGACCTGCCCATGGCCAGGGGGTTGGAACTAGATGATCTTTAATGTCCTTTCCAACCCACGCCATTCTATGATTCTATAAATCCATGTCTAAATCTATGAGACTATGAGTGTATGATTCTATGATCTGGAAACTTCCTGGCTTCGATGGTTTTAAAGCCTAGATAAATTTGTGTGTGCAGAGGCCTTTTTTTCAGACAAAGCTTTGTCCAAAGGTTTATTTATCTTTCTTCCCACTAATTGTTCAATCTCTTCCCATCCCCCTCCCTCCCAAGTAGGATGTGAAGCCAGTTTTTGCCACAGTTTTGGCCTTAGTGTGGTTGCACCAGTATAAATGGAGGGTGTCCTAGTCAGAACTTCTGGAGGCCAAAGCTCGTAGTTGGCTGTGGGACAGAGCTGGTAAGATTTTGCTTAGAAAATTCATACTATGGGCCTTTCCTGGAAAATGCACAACCAATTTCCATGGTTCCTCTTTCCCCTGCTCCTGTGTGGCAGTCTATGGGACTCAATACACACTATCTTCCCTTTCTGAGTAGCGTACCCTCTCAACATTTTCTTTCTGCTTGCAGAGTTCCATCTGGATGAATGTCTGGAAGCAGTGAATTCTCTCCTAGTCTGTTTTGTAGAGCCCACCATCTTCAGGGTCTGAACTTCCCCATGCTACAGGGGGTGTATCCATGCAAGGGATACACCGGGACAACTGAGGAAGGGAAAGGGAAGGGGGGGGAGGGAGAGAGGACGGGAAGAACTTGGACAAGTTGGGGATGGGGTCAGGGATGTTGTATTTCAAGGTGAGAGCTGCTTAGAAATTGTCTGGATGATTACTTGTGGAAGATGGTGATCATGTTTACATCAGAAGTTATTGCCTATACATAATTGGTGGGGTTTTTTTTCCTCTTTCTTCACTTACTAAATTGTCTTTATGTCAATATGAGTTCTTTTGCTTTTGATCTTCCTATTCTCTTCACCATGCTGCTGTAGGAGTGAGGGAACTGAAATGTGTATGTTCTGTGTAAACCCAAGGAAAGATTTATGCAGAATATGTGAATCTGCACGCTATTCTATGCCACGCCAGCCCTGGCCATTGTGAAGCTATGTAGAGATCCTCTGTTTATAGTATGAGTCAAGGATCAGCACAGTCCACCCAGCACTACCCCAAAACTAGGAAATAAATAGTAAAAAGGTACATTCCTTAAACAGGGGGCCAAGTAAAAAGTTTTTGTAACTAGTAAGCCACCACAAAATGTCCAGAGCAAGACATTCATACGCAGACAGCTTTATGGGAATGAAAACTGACCTGTGATAGCTCCCTGTATGGTAATGCTGAGCCACAGCCTGAACCACTGATTGAGTATCTGGGCAAAAGACCCAGTCAGCCCTGGGAGCACAGGTGAAGGCAATTTACCTGTGTGATAGGAAGAGGTTGGAGCCTGGCTGCACCTCTCTTAGACCTCATTTAAGGGCTGACTGTGCCTGCCTGCTGACTGCTATCTCTTCTTGGAGATCCCTCCTTGGTGAAGCTTTCATTTGCAAACCCAGATTCTTCAGGTACTGGTGAGCAATCTGCTTCCTTTATAGCACCTCTCTCTTGTCATCACACCTTTGTTGTAACCCCTTTCCCATTGCCCTGATCTGCCCAATTGCTACATTCCCTGTTACCATTTCTCGAAACTGTTTGCTAATGCAAACTGTCACAAGTAAAAGCAACTATAGAATATAACTTTGTTTTACTCCCTGTTTTCTTCTGAAACAAAGCTGGTGCTGATCAGACAGTCTCAAAATTGCTCTTCTCTTACAGTGGAAGGGATTTTGCTCCCCCAGTCCTCTTGTGGATGTCCAGGGACTTGAGAGATGCTTGGCTGCCTCTGAATGCTGAGATAAAGAGCTCAAATACCTCTGCCTTCTTTGTGTCTATTGTTGCCATTTCTTCCTTCTCATGTACCAGAGGGGGTGTATGCTCCACAGCCTTTCCCTTCTGACCAATGTACCTGTAGAATCCCTTCTTGTTAACTTTCACATCCCTTCCCAAGTTCAGTTCCACGTGCTGCCTGGTTTTCCTGATCTGCACATCTAGGTTGCATCCTTATATTCTTCCCAGGCCACCTACCCCTGATCCCATAGTGTGTGCATTTCCTCCTTATCTCACAATTGGACCAGAATGTCCTTCTTCAACCAAGCTGGTTTCTTGCCTCCCCTGTTTCACTTCACATGCTTGGGGATGGAGAGCTCTGGTGCTCTAAGAAAACTCTCCTTAAAGAGCTGCCAGCTCTGCTCCATTCCTTTGTCCCCCAGTACAGCTTAGCACAGGAACGGCTTACCTAGAGAAGTGCAGCTGTCCTCTCCCTGTAATTGTTCAAGGCCAGATTGGATGGGGCTTTGAGCAACCTGGTCTGGTGGAAGGTGTCCCCATCCATTGCAGGGGTGTTGGAATTAGGTGGTCATTAAGATCTCTTCCAACCCAAAACTTTCTATGATAATATAATTCTATGATTTCTGATATCCTTGGTTGGTCATTTCATGGTATGAATCCCTTCATGGTAAACAGATCCTTGAGCTCAGATAAAAAAAAAATATGCTTTTACCTGCTTACTAGTCTGTATTACTCAAAAAGGAACTGGTGGTTCACTTAAGAGTATATCGTGGCAATAACATTGCCTGGGAACTTCTGAGTTCTTCTAACTTTTAGAAGTCTGCTTTGACTCCAGCAGCTGCTCCAGGATGTATCTGGTTCGTACCAGATGCACCCTGTTTTGTATCACACCATGGCAATGTATCAGTTACCCTAAAACACCTCTATTTGAATAACATTTCTAACTCACATGGGTGTCATTCTCTGTTCAGTTTGACTTCCAAGTCTGACTGTGAGGGAAATGAATCTTTATTTCTTTGGTACTCCAGAGCATCTGAGGTAGCCCAAGATGAATTTCTTGTTCCCTTGGTATTCCTTCATCAGTTCTAACAAAAATGTCAGTGAAGGTGTCAGACGCATGTATAGCAATGAGAGTAACAGCCTCGGTATCGTCTAAGTCCTGGGTGTTGAGCTATACTTTGTACAGAATTCTCCTGGAGAAGCTGCAGCCATGGCCTGGAAAGGTGCCCTCAGTGCTGGGTAAAGAACTGGCTGGAGGGTTGGACCCAGAGAGTGGTGGTGAATGGAATTGCATCTAGCTGGTGACCGGTAACCAGCGGTGTTCCCCAGGGATCTGTTTACTATCTGTTCTGTTTAATGTCTTTATTGATGACCTGGATGTCAGAACTGAGTGCACCCTCAGTAAGTTTGCAGGCAACACCATGTTGGAGGAAGCATGGATCTGCCCGAGGGCAGGCAGCCCTACAGAGGGACCTGGACGGGCTGATTGCTGGGCTGAGGCCAACGGGACGGAGTTGCAGAGAAAGGCAGTGGAGCTGTGAAGGGTCTGCAGCTCAAGTCTTATGGGGAGCGCCTGAGGGAACTGGGATTGTTCAGTGGAGAAGAGAAGGAATTAGGGCTTCTCATCACTTTTTTGGAGGGAGATCATTAACCCAGATGAAGTGAAATGTGAGCAACAAATGGGAGGAGCTGGAAGCCTTTGAGCCACAGGGAAAACTATGATCTAGTTGTCATCACAGAAACGTGGTGGAATTACTTTCATGACAGGAGTGCTGCAGTGGATGGCTGTAAATATTTTGGAAAGGATAGGCTAGTGAGGAGAGTCAGCAAGGTAGCCGTATATGTTAGGGAGTGTTTTGATTGCCTGTAGCTTAATGACGGTGACGATAGGGTTGAGTATTTATGATTAAGAACCAGGATGGCCAGCAAGGTAGATGTCATGGTGGGAGTCTGTTATAGACCACCCAACCAGGATGAAGAGACAGGTGCAGCACTGTATAAGTAGCTGTCTCACAATCGCTAGCCCTTGCTCTCATGGGGAGCTTCAACTGACCAGGTATCTGGTGGAAATATAGAGTACAGCAGGGAGAAAACAGTCTAGGAGGTTTCTGAAATGTGTGGAAGATAACTTCCTGACACAGCTGGTGAGTGAGCCAACCTGGGAAGACGTGTTGTTGGAACTTCTGCTTGTGAACAGAGAAGGACTTGTGGGTGATGTGAAGGTTGAAGGCTGTTTTGAGCATGGCAGTCACAAACTAATAGTTTTTGATCCTTGGAAAAGTGAAGAGGGAAGTTAGTAGAACTGCCTCATTAGATTCCTGGATGGCAAACTTCAGTCTGTTTAGGAGACTTGTTGACAGAGTCCTTCGGGTATTTTCCTGATGGTCAAAAGTCTCCAGGAAGGTTAGACGCTCCTCAAGAAGGAAATACTAAGGTTCAGGAATAGGCCATTCCCACGTGCCAAAAGATGAACTGGCAGGGAAGAAGACCAGCCTAGCTGAACAGAGAGCTAAAACAGGAACAAACAGAGTTCATGGTCATTGGAAGAAGGGGCAAGCCACTTAGGAGGACTACAAAGAGATCATGAGTCTATGCAGTGAGGAAATCATAGAATCATAGTATCACCAAAATTGGAAAAGATCTCTAAGATCATCCAGTCCAACCATCTATGTATCATCAATATTTCTCACTAAATCACGTCCCTCAGTACATCTAAAATGAGAACAGGCAAAACCCAACTGGAGCTTTATCTGGCTACTGCCATTTAAGACCACAAAAATGCTTCTGTAATTACATCAGCAACTAAAGAAGGACTAAGAAGAACCTCTATTCTTTATTGGTTGTGGGGGTAAATACAGTGATGAAGGATGAGATACTTAATGCCTTCTTTGCCTCAGTCCTTAGTAGAAAGGCCGGTTGTTCTCTGGAGATCCAGCATCCTGAGCTAGAAGATGGGGATGAGAAGCAAGAACAGCCATCATATTGCAAGAAGAAATGGATAGCGACTTGCAACAACTCTTAGATGCACACAGGTTTATGAAACCAGATAGGATCCCCCCAAGAGTACCAAAGAAGGTGGCTAATGTGCTCATCAAACCATTTTCTCTCATTTGTCAGCCATCCTGGCTATCGGGGGAGGTCCCAGTTGACTAGAGGTCAGCTAAGAAGCAGGGCTGGAAGAAATACGGGGGGAACTACAAGCCCGTCATTCTGATTTCAGTGCTGGGGAAGGTTATGGCATAGGTCTTCTCATGTGCCATCACACAGCACATACAGAACAAGCAGATGGACAGGCTCAGGCAGCATGGATTTATGACAGGTAGATCCTGCTTGTCTAGCCAGATTTCCTGCTATGAAAACTGATCTGTTTAGTGGGAAAGACTGTAAAACTGCTCCTGGAGAAGCTCCCACATTCTCCTGTGTAAACTGTTTCTGGCTTCAATAGGCATATGCTTTGCTGGGTAAAAATCTGTTTGGGTCCTAGGCCCAGATAGTTGTGGTGAAGGGACTTAAGTAGTTAGGCCAGTTCTTTTATATCTTTATCAATGATCTGAACGGGCTGCCCAGGGAAGTATCTGTATCAGCACTCCTGGAAGTATTTACAAGATGTGCAGTTAGTGCTTAGGGGGACTTGGCGTAGTGGTGGACTTTGCAGTGTTACTTTAACTGTTGGAGATGATGGGAGGCATTTTCCAATCTAAATAATTCCATGACCAGAATCTGGTCTGGCACATGAAGTGTCACCAGGAGTTTTTGTATTTGTACAGTTCTCTGCTACTCCCTATCTCTATTATTTACCATGGAATCCCAGGAGCAGCTCCTATGCAGCTCACAGCAGGGCAGGGCCACAGCATGCAGGAGGTGTGGAGAGAGGAGAGATGGGAGAGGTTTAAAGGCTGGGTGGAGTGCAGCAATAGAGAACAGCTCTGAACAGGATGAACTGTTGGATCCTAGCACAGTGAGTCTTGGGTTGAAGGACGATGTATGTGGGGTTATCAAAGGGCAAAGCTGGCACATCCAGTGACTGTTGTCAGGATGGCTTTCCCTCTTCCTCTAACTTAGGTTAGGAGGTGTTGTAGAGAATTACATTTATGAGGGTATGTTTAAAGAAGAAGATGAAGGCATGAGATACTTGAAGGGGAAGGCATTTTCTGAAGTCTGTGACTTCAAATTCCTGCTATGGAGGGGAGGCAGGTGTCGTGGGCATGGAATATCAGTCTACAGGAGGATGTAATTCCTAGAGTATTGCACTGACAGATCAGTATTGTTGGTGATGAACTGCAGAAATTTCCTGTTCCCTCCCCACTCCACTTTGTCCTACAGAGTGCACTAGCATCACCTTCATGATGCCATCGAGGTTCTTCTGAAGTGATCTTTAGGATCTCTGGCACTGCTCTCTGGTGCTCACAAGGACCTGTTCCTTCCTTCAGGACACCCTGTCTCCAAGACATTCCCTTGTCTTTCCCTGGGATTCTTGTTGAGATGCAGGTTGCCCTCCAGAAGGGCTCACCTCTCTTGTAGTATCTGTGCCTTCTCTCTTAGCCCCATGGAGGAGTCACCTTGGTGCTAAAGCCATGCATGGCTCCATATGGGAATTTACAATGAGTCCTCTCTATCTCTGCCGCGGTGAGGAGCACTGAGATCCTCCTCAGCTAAAATGAGGCTGGGTGAGTGTTTTGTTCCTCTGCATTTGGAATCTGGATTTGTCTGCTCTCAGCAGTGTGCAGGTTCTTCACAAGGAAACACACAAGAGCAATCATCCTCCTTCTCAAAGAGCTGTCAGCACAGCTGAGATCAGGGCTGATGGACAGAGTGGCTCTGCATCACTCTGCAGTAATGAATAGTCCCTTTGCCTAGTGGGACCCAAAAGATTTCACTTGGAGTGCAAAAGCAATGCCAATGCTTTCTGCCTTAACACTCCTTTGGTGTGGTGAGGCAATTAAATTAAAATAAATGAAATCCAACCCTATGGTGCTGTTCTGTAGTTGGGTGAATTGGTAGGGACAATGCTGGTAAGGTTTTTGATATTATGAGTGGATATGTTCTGAGGTCAGTGCATGTTCCTATTTACCTACTGCTGTAGGCTGAACAGACTCCTGCAGTGCTCCTGTTCCCTGTGATCACCTTAGAGCCAACCAGGGCTTAATCAAGAGAGAGACACAATATTCTCTGAAAGACAAGGTACATAGGGGGTCTTCTGTGAGAAGAGTTACAGGATTTGATCAGAGAAGCATCTCCTAATTTGTTATGGCCCTTCCCTCCCTCGACAGGTCCCTGTGCCCGGACAGAGCAGATGTCTAACAGCACCTCCACCACTGAGTTCCTCCTCCTGGCATTCACAGACACGTGGGAGCTGCAGCTCCTGCACTTCTGGCTCTCCCTGGGCATCTACCTGGCTGCCCTCCTGGGCAATGGTCTCGTCATCATGGCTGTAGTCTGTGATCATCATATGCACACTCCTATGTACTTCTTCCTCCTTAACCTTGCCTTCTGTGATCTGGGCTCTATCTCCACCACTCTTCCCAAAGCCATGTCCAGTTTCCTTTGGGGCAGTGGGGCCATCTCATACACAGGATGTGCTGCACAAGTATTTTTTCTCTTTTTCTGTACTACAGCTGAGTGTGCTCTTCTTACTGTCATGTCCTATGACCGCTACATTGCCATCTGCAAGCTCCTGCACTATGGGACCCTCCTGGGCAGCAGAGCTTGTGCCACCATGGCAGCGGCTGCCTGGGGCTCTGGGGTCCTCAATGCTCTGCTGCACACTGCCAGTACATTCTCACTGCCACTCTGCCAAGGGAATGCTGTGGACCAGTTCTTCTGTGAAGTTCCCCAGATCCTCAAGCTCTCCTGCTCCAGCTCCTATCTCAGGGAAGTTGCTCTTCTTGTGGTTAGTCTCTCTTCTGCATCTGGGTGCTTGGTTTTCATTGTGCTCTCCTATGTGCAGATCTTCAGGGCTGTGGTGAGGATGCCCTCTGAGCAGGGCCGGCACAAAGCCTTCTCCACGTGCCTCCCTCATCTGGCTGTGGTCTCCCTGTTTGTCAGCACTGGCACTTTTGCCTACCTGAAGCCACCCTCCATCTCCTCCCCATCCCTGGACCTGGCTGTGGCAGTGCTGTACTCGGTGGTTTCCCCAGCAGTGAACCCTCTCATCTACAGCATGAGGAACCGGGAGCTCAGGGGTGCCCTGAAGAAACAGATGAGCAGACTTTTCAGAAATAGACATCTGTCTTTCTTCTTCTGCAGATCATTCATAGTAAAACTCTTGATTGTCAGAACCTGTCATCTGCTCATGTTGGTTTTCTCCCTCTTTGGTTTTCTGTGAAAACATTCTCCAAGAGAAATGCCGCTTGTCATTCTCCTGAGTACCTAAACAAAATAAAGGGCCCTACAACAACCTCAATAGAGTTGATTCTTTTCCTAGCAGCTGCTTCCTATCCCCAGTCTCACACGTATGATAGAAATGCATACAAGAATTCCCCCCACCCTCTGTGCCACCATGTGGTTTTACCTGTGTTACCTTGAGTTACCATGAGAAGAACATGAGAAAATGTGATGGCAAATCTACTTCAAATCTAGACACACGTATTGTGAAGAAAAAAAGAGCAGTGGAGGATTTCCAGGATAGTTATTGCTCCACTCTCTATTGGATAGTCCCATAGGATACGAGATATTATTTTAAATCTGATCTGCTCTTAAGTAAATGAATTCTGGTTTGAATTTACATGACTTGAGGAATGGTTTTCCTCTATTCTTCCCGTGAGAAGGAAATAATGTTAGAGAAAACAAGTATGCACTGCTGATCAGTATGTGACTCTTAGGCTGGTGTCAGTGGCAACATTTTGGTTTTTTTCCGTCGTGGGATTATTGGCACAACACCAGGCCAAGCGCTGGGATGCTACAGGGGTGTGGGACACCCTTGTCAGGGGTTGCACCCACCAGCATTATCAAAAACCTAGTGCGGGGTTGCCAAGATATGGTGACATTTGTTGGCTGGACAGGGAAGTGTAAGAGCACAGGAGCACGGTCTGTAAAATCAAGCAGCTACAAGTCCTAGACTTAGCCCACAGCCTCCACTTAATGACCAGGTCCACGATTCCCCTGTGGCCAGGAGTGCTTCCCCTGCTGCCTTCTTCCTCTGAGGACTGAGCTCATGTCCTTCTAACACAGTCTGAGCCCAGGCTGTGGATGTCTTGCATGCTGACGAGTAAGAATTGTATGCCATCTGCAGAGGGTTCAGGTGGCTGAAAAGTTTATGCAACTGAGAATTCTAAAAATGGTGTGCAGCTACATCAAGTGCTAGAAATTGTAGCTCGTAAGCAACACTGATCGTTTTATGTATATATGTATGTTTACACACATACATAATAACTCTCTAATTACAACCATGCCTCTGTGGCCAATCCTTCTGCCAAGGATCCCTAAGAGAACCCAGCTGACCTCTGCAGCACTGGGTGACAAAAACAAACTTCATTAGAGACAGCTTGGATTTGGCACAGAGCTGAGGACCGTGCTTTCTTGTTCTCATAGATCTTATCCGTTTTACTTTAAATAAATAAATAAACCTTTCTGTGGCTGTCTGCAGTCAATTCTCCGAGGAAAGCAGGCAAAAGTTGGTGGAAAAGAGCTGTAACATCCAGCTTTAACAACAGCAGAGAAATCAGAGGTAAAGAAAAGTGAAGCAAGTCTCAGGTGACCAATGAGAGAAATGGCACACCTGGGGAGGTGAGCAATCAGATTATCTATACGGCGTCCATCCTCAAGAGACTGTTTTTCCCACCTGCCCAGATCTCCTTAGGAGACACCCTGGATCAATATCAGTTGGGGAATGTTGCTATCACTATTTGTCTAAAATGAAAAGCAAGGAAAAACATCTGGAAAAATAAAACATTCTTTTTTAGTATGTAGTCACTGAAAACTTCCTTTTTAACTGCACTCTTGAAATCTAATTAACCATACATCTCTAAGACTAAACGAAAGTGGCTTGTCAAGGCACTCTGCACTTTAATGAGTCCCATGGTGACAAGTCAATGAGCCTCAGGTATTGAGAGGAAACTGATGTCACCACTCCGGAAGATAAAGTCAGAAGGAAATGCTAAAGTGTCTTGAAGTATTAATGGGACCCAGAGAGGGCCATTAATGACATACCTCCCCATGGACTCGTTAGAAAAGATAATTGGAGGCCATGATTACAGGAAGGCAAGGGCACTTGATACACAGCTCTGATGCCTCTGAAAGCCTTTGCTTTGTTTGATGAAGCAAAAAAACTGAGCCTTGCCCCCCAGACCTTGGGAAGGGAGATTTCTGTTCCTCATCATGGCCCTTCCTGAGCAGTGGGATGTAGGATGTGCAATACTGAATGAAGGAGAATCAAACAACACCTCCAGGCTTCCCTCAGTATTGCTAGGAAACAACAAGGTCTCAGTGCCATATGGACCATGCATCTCCTCATGGGTTTCAATAACGAAACAGGTGCCAGAGCAAAGGGGACAAAAACCTTGGTGCTGTCGGGGCCTTCCAGCCTCACCGGTGCACTCCACCGTAACCACTGCTGTCCTACACTGTCCCACACATGCCCCCATTCCCTGCAGGCTGTAGCCATCCTCCTCACTTTTCCAACTTGCTCTCAGTGTAATTTCCATACCCTCACCAGTATCTCTCCATCCTCACCAAATGGTCACTGAAACACAAAGGCATGGGCTGATCACAGATTCCTTGTGTGACTTCTGACACCACTGCATCACCCTTTGAGGGACATTTCTTCTTCACCTTCAAAGTTGCACTCTGTGATGGTTGACCTTTTTCCTTCTGTTTCCTATTGCAAGGAAAGGTCCACCATCTCAGAAGCCACACCTCAAGCAGATGTCCCAACCCATTAACTTTCTTGTGCTCTGTCTGCTGACCCGACAGCAGTTGTTTCACCATCATCTTCCAAGCCATATACCTGTCGCTGACCTTTCATATGCTCAGACAGACATGATCAAGACACATCTATCCTGCTGCATGGCAGTTAGCATGGGTGAGTCCCTGCAAAGGGGAAGAAACTAAGCTAGCTTTCAACCCTGAGGTGACAGACTATAGCAAAGTACAAGAAAAGGGAGGCTGGATTCTTTTCTGTGCTCAGAGAGAAGTGCCCCTGTACAAGGGAGATGGGGCTCTGGGGATGGAAAAAGGAGAGGTGAAGTGGAAAGGACAAGGAAAGGACAACCACATTAAACTGGACCAACCAATTGGTACCTGTAATAGAATCAGTGACACCAGAAAAGTGTGAGGGGTGTAAGTAATTGGAGAGTCCTTAATGAGAGGACTGAAGCACCTGTTTGCCACTTGGATGAGCTATGGGGTGTTGCAACAGCGTCAGCTCCACCAGATGCAGCTGACTGAAGACATCTGTCACCAGGTCCTCCTCCTGGGGGCTCTGAGCACCCCAAAATCCCATGCCCTCCCTGCCTCACCTCCCCCCCCCTCACAAAAAGCTGCATTTCATCATGGGGAAACCTTTTTTCCCACTTTTTCCCCCAAAAAACCAACCTCATGCCACTGCTTTCTTCTTGGCAACACCCTACCATGGAGTTGGGGTGACAACGGTGGTCTTGGCCCACCCCCCAAATTTCAGTGTGGGGGATATGGGGGGGACATGACACGAGTGTGGGTTTTGTGGGAAGGGCTTTGGGAGTGAAAGCGCCTGGCAGATCCACCTGAGGTCCCACATGGGTGAACAGCTCTACAGCTGTAGTGTCTGTGGCAACCAGTTCACCATGTGTGGCAACCTGAAGGTTCACTACCACCAGCATAGACAGAAGGTCCCCCACCTAGCTGTGAGCCCCCAGACCACCAAAAGGGGCCAGTTGGCCTCCAGCAACACCCAACTGGCCTCCAGCAACACCCAGTTGGCATCCAACAGCATACAACCGCTTGTCAACACTCAGCTGGCCTCTGGAAACACCCAGTTGGCCTCCAGCAACGCCCAGATGGCCTCCAACAGTGTGCAAAAACTTGTCAATACCCAGCTGGCCTCCAGCAAGAATCAGTTGGCCTCCAACAGCATGCAACCACTTGTTAACACCCAGTTGGCCTCCAACAGTACCCAGTTGACATCCAGCAACACCCAGTTGGCCTGCAGCAATACTCAGGTGGCTTTCAGCAACATCCAGTTGGCCTCCAACAGTGTGCAACTGCTTGTCAACACCCAGTTGGCCTCCAGCAACAATCAGCTGGCCTTCAAAAACACATAAGTGGCTTCCAGCAACACCATCATCATCATTCAACATCATCAGCATTCAACTGAATTTTTTAACAGGCTGAGGGAGCTGGGCTTGTTCAGCCTGGAGAAAAGAAGGCTGTGGGGTGACCTCATTGTGGCCTTTCAGTACCTAAAGGGAGCCTGCAAACAGGAGGGGAATGAACTCTTTGAAAGGGAAGATAACTGCAGGACAAGGGGAAGTGTTTTTAAGCTGAGGGAAGGGAGATTCAGGTTGGATGCCAGGGGGAAGTTCTTTACAGAAAGAGTGGTGAGATGCTGGAACAGCTGCCCAGAGAGGTTGTGGATGCCCCGTCCATCCTGAAGGTGTTCAAGGCCAGGTTGTATGGGGCCCTTAGCGGCCTGGGTCCGTGGTATTAAAAGTGGAGGTTGGTGGCCCTGCATGTGGCAGGGGGTTGGAGATTGATGATCCTTGAGGTCCCTTCCAACCCTGGCCATTCTGTGATTCTGTGACAATCTAGTGAGGTTTGCAGCTGCCAAAGGCCTGCATATGCAATGTCAAGAAGATGTCATCATACCTGATAAAGCTGGAGAGCTACTATCCATTTCTATTTTCTCAAGTTGGGTTGAATGAAGCTGCAGTGAGGACTACAAAATATATAAAAAGACATCATGTACCATGGAAAGATGTTGAAGAGTTGGAAACCATAGAGCAATTAGAAAAAAATTACCCAATTGCTCTCAAAGAAACATGGGAGGATGAATCACACAACTGCAGCACTGCAGTTGAGAGCTACAGACACTTTAAAAGAGATAAGAGGGAAGGAAGAGGAGAACTGTTGCCCTGTATGTTCAGAAATTGATAGATTGCAAAGAACTGCCACTGAGCAGCCACTCAGGCTGATTAAGGAATTATTGGATGAGATCCCCTGGGAAACTGTCCTTAGGGACACAGGAATGAAACAGAGCTGGCAGCTCTGTTTAAGGACACCTTTCAGAGAGCACAAGAGCTCTGAGTATAAGAAATCAAACAGTGGAGGCAGGAAAGCAGCATGGCTGAGCAAGGACCTGTTGGTTAAACAGAGCGATGAAAAGAAAATGGACAGGCAGTGGAATGAGGGATGCATGGCCTGGGAGGAATACAGGGATACTGTCCAGACATGTAAAGATAGGACTAGGAAAACCCAGACAAAGAAAGAACTGAAATTGGGAAGGGATGTAAAAAATAACAAGAAGGGGTTCTATAGGTATATTTATCAGAAGAGAAAGGTCAAGGACAGTGCACACCTTCAGATAAATAAGAGGGAACTGGCAACTACAGATGTGGAGAAGGCTGAGGTACTCAAACATGTTCTTTGCCTCAATCTTTTCCGGCAACCAGGTTTCCCATGTCTCTCAGATCCCTGCGTCTCTGGAGGTGAGGATCAGGGGAACAAAATCCCTCCTACTGTAAGAGAAGGGCACGTTCAAGACCCCTTGATGAGACTAAACGTGTACAGGTCTGTGGGGCCCAAAGACACGCATCCAAAGATCCTGATGGAACTGGCTAACGTGGGGGCCATGCCACTCTCCGTCATATTTGAAGTCATGGCGAGATCCCTACTGACTGGAAGAAGGAAAACATCACTCCCATTTTTAAGAAGGGTAGAAAGGAAGACCCAGGGAACTACAGGCCAGCAAGACTCATCTCTGTGCCTGGGAATATCACAGAACGTATCTTGGAAGAGATGTTATGGTACCTGTAAGACAAGGAGGTGATCTGAGAAAGTCAGTATGCCTTCACCAAGAGCAGATTGTACCTCACCATTACAGTGGCCTTTTAGAACAGTCACAGCGCTGGTGGACTAAGGAAGAAAAATTAATATCATCTATCATCTGAAATTCTGCAAAGCTTTTGACATGATCCCACGTCACATCCTTCTTTCTAAATTGAAGATAAATGGATTTGAAGGTTGGGCAATTTGGAGGATAAGGAATTGGTCGGATGGTCGCAGCCGGAGGGCTGCTGTCAATGGCTTCATGTCCAGGTGGAGGCCGGTGATGAGTGGTGTCCCCCAGGGGTCCATCTTGGGACCGGAGCTCTTCAGCATCTCCATCAATGACACAGAAGATGGGTTTGAGTGCACACTCAGCAAATTTTTGGATGACACCAAGCTGAGTGGTGCAGCAGACACAACAGCAGGAAGGGACACCATCCAGAGGGACCTGGACAGCCTTGAAAAGACAAAGTCATGACAGTGTGGCTTTGGGGATGGATGAGTGTGAATCTCCTCCTTTTCCTGCAAGGAAATAAGTAGTACATGAAAAGGTTCCATGATTTTCCCCATAGGAAGTCAAGCTTCTTCTCATCAAACTGCTTCCCAGTCTTGGCTATCTGGACTTTAAACAAGATGAAATACTGCAAATCACCTTTCAAACCTGTGGTGCACACACAGAAGCTTTGAATATACTCCCACAAGCTAACTGCCCCACCTATTATAAATCTCAGGAGCAGCCTCACTTGGGCAGGAGCCACAGAGCACAAGGTCCAGTGCAGGGGATTTTTTTTTTGCCTCAGCTCTGCAGGCACAAAGATAGATTTCACTTGGCTACGTAGCAGAATGCAATGCCTTCCTCTACCAGCAGAGGAAAAAAGTTTCCTACCAGAGCCAAATATTATGACACTGACTGATTTGCACAACGAGGCTTCTTGTTAGTGAGTCATAAAAACAACAGTGAATGCATGAGAGACAGGGCAGCCAATATAATTCCTCTCTTTAAAAAGCTGCACAGAGATTATACAAATTTGCAGTAATAGGGAAACTGAGTGTCACAATAATTGAAAATAGAGGGAACTGCTGCATCAAAAGCTTGCAGTGATAAAGCAAGTGATAGACACATAAAATAAATAAATGAATAATGACTGCTTTGGGGAAAGTTTTCTACAGGATTCCCCCAAAAATATTGTTGGTGAGCATCCCTGATACCTTTACGCTGCAAGGAATGCAAGCACGGATTATCACCAGCAGAGACCAGGTTAGCATGGTAGCAGTGCACAAGCCGAAGATCTGATGACATGGAAAAATGTAGCCAGAACTCACCGGCAGCACATGCAGTGAGCTGGTGAGGCGCTGGCGCTGCTGCCCAGAGAGCTGTGGGTGCCCCATCCCTGCAGGCACTCCAGGCCAGGTGGGATGGGGCCCTGGGCAGCCTGAGCTGGTGGGGGGCAGCCCTGCCCACGGCCGGGGGTGGCTCTGGGTGGGCTTTGAGCTCCCCTCCAATGAGGCCCTTCTATGGACTGCAGACCGAAGACACAGGGATGGAGCACAGATAAACAGGCAGGAAAGTGGGGAGGTAAGAATGTCCAAAACAATCCTGGGATGTCCTCATCCTGATAACAACGTACACAAACTCCACTAGAGACAATGGGAGTTTTCTCAAAAACTGCAGCAGAACCAAGACTTCACCGCAGGACTGAATGAGTAAATGATCCTGTGACTTCCTCTTCCCAAACTCTCTTCTTTCTTCAAACAGACAAGCTGGAAAATGCTCCATATGCAACAGAAAATGAAAACACGATCTGGCAACCTTTGGAAAGCTCCCACTACGTTGCCTTCTCTGAGTCATTGCTACACAAACAAGAGCTGCCAACGTGGGAGACTTTGGGGTAAGACTCCAGCAAGACAGAAGAAACAAATACCAAAACAAGAGAGACAGTATTCAAACAGCTTGCGAGGAAGAACAAATATTGACTGGAAAAAGCCAGCTCATTCTCCTCCTTGTGGGGGTGGATCTGGCACAGAGGAAATGACACTGGGCTGAACAAGGAAATGTCTTAGCAAATTCTGGAATGTGATACTGGAGTTCTGAGCTGCACAAGGGCTCTGCTCATGAACAAAAGCATCCCCAGTCTAGAGAACAGGCTGCAAACTCACAATAAATTCACACGACACCAAGAGTAAACAGGGGTGTGTAAAAATGCAGTCCTATCAGCCCTGTGTCTGTAGGCAAGCACCTTGTAAACTCTTCTTTGCCTGCATTTAGAAGAAAATACCTCCCTGCCCGAATACTATGAGATATATGCTGTGACCAGAAACCCAGGGCATTTTTATGATGCTAAAAAAGGAAAAAAAATCCTACAGCTATCAGTTCTGCTTTGTTATCCACTTTCACACAAATTAGATTACCCATTTCCCTGCCAAAAGAGTGGTGGAAGACTGCACGTCTTCTTCTCAGCAGCTCCCAACTCCAGAGCTGCTCTTGCTGGATAAGGCCCACACAGCTGTGGCTTCTGCATCAGCCCCTGTACAAGAACAACTATTTGCTTTGGACCAACAGAAATAAAGTATCTGACAGTCAATTCTGCTAGATTGAAGACAGGAAGGCTAAGTGAAAGGAGGCAGTTAAGCGAGCCTGGAAGGGATGAATGGGACTAAAAGCAAAGATTTCTACCTGTGTGACCCCACTTACGGGTGAGTTCTTACAGCCACAGGTTCCAGAAACAGGTCAGCCTAACAGAACAGGTCTATTCTTTGCAGTAAACCTCTCCATTTGCAAACTGCTGTCCCCAACCCTGAGAGCTGCAGGTGGCCATCAGCCTGCCAAGGATGCTGCACGGGAAGTAGGAAAAGCTGAAGGATCATAACAATGCTTGGAAGCCGAGAGTAGATTAAGCTTTTCTGTCAGCAGTCCCTCCCAACCTTCTCCTCATCACCTGAGCCAAGCAACCTCCTCACACATGCACAGTTCTCTGCTCCACCTCCTCCTTTCCTCCATCCCCACACTTTACCCCACTCTCCCTGTATATCCCCAGCTGAAAAGACACAGACTGCTCCTAATGCTGCATCTGCACATCCTCCCTCTGCTCTGGAAGTCCCCAGAGCATATTCCTGAGAAGCTGTGAGCTGAGGATTGCACAGCTGCAGCAGTACTGAGCAGAGTCCAGGAACACACACTGCAATGCGCTGTGACATGTGAGCAAGGACTGCACCTGTCTCAAAGATTTTGCAGCTGGAAGGAATGTTAGAGATATGGAATGCAATCTGCCCCAAAATCAAGGTGAAAACCCAAGTCTCTAGTTTTGCTACTGCTGTGCCTTGACCGCTGGGCTGGGCTCAAACCCAGTCAGGTATGGGCAACAGCCAATGAATTCACCACAAAGCATTCATCCAGCAGCCCTGCTGTTGCTTCTTGCTGATTCAGACACAACATGTTAAAAGTGAACTGCCCCAACCAAGGAGAAGGTGGGCACTGAAAACAGGAAAGGTCCAAACAGCCTCCTGGTTGTACGGAGGAGAAACAGGGCTGGGCTTTGCAGCCCAGGGCAGCACATGGACCACGTGTTCTGAGGCAGAGGAATGGCAGTGATCTGATTTCTGCCCTGCTCCTTCTGCTCTAAGACAGTCTTTCCAACCAGCCTGTTTAAGCACAGGGCAGAGGAAACCTCTTGAGAACACCTCTACCCACTCTTGGCAGGACAAGTATTACACCAGTGCCACAGGGGACTATTAGAAACCAGAGAAGGCCAGAGCAACCTTCTCTGTGCTGCATGGAACATAAAAAGATTGCGCTGTCCTACCAGAAGTTGTCTGAAGGCTGTTTCTGATATATTTATAATCATATATAATATATATATGATATATATATATCATTATATATTATAATATATATAATCATTATATATTTGTAATTCGCCTTCCAAGCAGGATCCATAGAGGTCCAGGGCAAGCAACAGTACTGCAAGAGAACACAGCTCCCTAGCTCCCTAGTCAGACCCACCTAATTACGTGCACACGCTTGGAGGAGATCCAGGAGCCTCCACCTTCACCTCAGCATCTTCCCAGGCCCCACAGCCAAGGGCTCCTGACATGCCCTGGCTGCAGCACCCCAACCCTGCACTGCTGCTGCCCCAACACAGAGCTGGGCAGCAGGCAGCAACAGCACTGCGTTTGTATCCAGAGTCCTCCTGGGTGCTGCTGCTGAACCCTGTGCATCCACACTGACCTTGTTTGCTTAGCAGACACAGCTGGAGCTTGCAAAGCAGACAGATGGGGCCTCCTCAGTTCTTCTCCAGGCAAGCAGGTGGAGACACATGAAGTTACTCACAGGAAAATGAGGAATCTCAGCAGGGCTGGGATGATAATTAGGTTTGGACAGATGCTGGAGGAAAAAGAAATTCACAGTTCATTCCCCCAGCAGCATCTGCAGAGATGGGAGCTCAGAAGAACAGAATTCCATTACCAGGGGTTCTCTCAACCACCACCACTTGAAGCCCCTCTTACAGCAAAATAAACACACAGCAGACCCACTCAGTACCTCCTGCTGGATGTCAGGTGGACCCAAATACTGAGAGAGACTCGAAACTGAACATCATTGTAGTAGGTACCAAATTTCATTCTGATCCCTGCAGCATTACAACATGCTTTACAGAGATCTGCATGCTGTAATGCAACACAGGAAGCTGCCTGCTCCACACACCTCGACCCCTGAAGAACAGAGATGAAGGCTACAAAAATCAATCCAAGTCTGCAGGCACTGTCCCAGCACGCTTCCCAGCAGGTATGGCACAGCCTCCCTCCTGCCCAGGGCTAGGAACCCCTGGAGCAGTCTCTGGTCTGATCATTCGTCCCCAAGGTTGCTAGCCACGAGATTTTATTTTTTTAATACAGATTATAAATTAGCTGTTCCAAACCTGTCTCCTCGTAACAAGATCATGCATTTGCTTTAATAAAGGTCAAAGTAACAACAAACAAAAAATGTGAAGGCCCTCCCCACAAGTTTGCTAACGAAATCAGAAAAGCAAACTACAAAACCCCTTTACAAATGCGCTTGGGGATTTTTTGGACATGGCTTCATCTTTTGGAACAAACCTCTTTGCACACGCAACCGCATTCAAACTGGGCAGTGTACAACAGCCCTGACTTATGAATTAAACTAGAGAGGAAGGTGGAACAGCCACAGCCACTTAAAACACATCTTTACTGCACTGTCTTTTCACATTAAACATGAGATTAAGGGCTACGACAGCATAGAACAGTTGCACAAACAGCACCAGGGAGAGGTGCAGCAGATTCTTCAGCTACATTTGTTTCTTTATTTAAGGTCAGAGATTAGCAAGGGGAGAGGAAACAAACAGGGCCACAGATCTGATTTTGGCTCACCACTGCAGGGCCCTGTTTGACGTGTGTTTGCACGAGGGGAAGTGCAGGCTGAAGGCTGGGAGGGAATGCTGTGAGCACAGCCCCAAACCAACTCACGCAGCACACCAACTGCACAGCAGAAATCCTTGAGCTCCACATTTGACTCTTAGGATACTCACATGGGGGTAAAGTCCATTCTCTGAGCAAGGCCAGGACACCAACATCACAAATGATCCCCCTAAATCTTCCAAGTTTAAATTCACAGTCCCAGCTTCAGTCTATTTCCCCATACAGTGGGGGTAGCACACTGCATTCTCCAGGCTGCCATCAACCAAAGTGCCTTTGCTCTTACCATATGTATATAAGCTGTCTCTATCAGAGCACAATGCCATTGAAAGACTTTCCAAAGAAAGGCAGAGGATTCAGAATGCCTCTCCCTACATTTCCAAGTTTCTCTTACAGTTCAACCTCTGCTTTCTCTGCGCAGCATCAGAGAGATGGGGAGTAAAGCTGGATTTTCCACATGCCAGACTACAACCTGGAACAGAACCTGATATTATAATTTCTTTTTGTTTTCCATTTTTCTCTTTTCTGGTATAACGGGTAGGGAGCAGCAGAGATAGTATGTTTGTAGGTGGTGCTGGATGTTCCAGCTGGTTCTAAACCAATAGGTTCTGTGCAGGCATAGCAGACACCTGGCTCTGAGAACTGAAAGCAGATGATGTATCCTTACAGCAGGAAGCTTGCAGAGTAAAATCACTTCATGGAAATCTTTATTGGATCTTAAGTGGATCTTACAAGCACAATCTTTCAGAAAGGAAACTGAAGAAGGCTTAGGCAGCTGTCCCAGAGTGTCAGTTGGTTTTGTTACCCAGGTGTGTTGCTAGCCTCCCATTTTTCTCTTGGTTTGTTTCGATCTGCGGGATTTCAGAATAGTGTAGTTTGCATACTGTGTGTACCTTTCTGAGAGGACAGGGACGTAGAACGCACGCAGCAGCTTTGAAGACCTGAAACCAGAAAGGAAATAGATCATTCTTAACGTATTCATTAGTTCAAAGCAACACAAAAGAAGGTTTGCAAAATATCTGTGCTAGTGAGTCAGTGATGTAAGGAATGCCAATGGAACAAGCATACCAAGCCCAGTCCCTTTTTCTTCTTGTCCATGGGACCAAAACTGGTTTGTGCCAGCATCACCAACTTGAGGGAGTCAGCTTGCCTGCTAACCATTCCAATAGGATGTTAGAGTGAGGTATTTATCAAAAGGAGGGTATTTATCAAAAGCAGCTTAGTTCCAGGTTATCAGGGTCCAAAGAGCAGACAGTACAGCCCTGTGGGCCTTCAGAATCATACAGCTGCCTCCCACTCATCAGGGCACATCCTGAAGGTGAAAGATAGCAAGGCCGTGTTTAACTCCTGGCATTGCCTCTTCTCTATCCAATCTTTCTGATCATCTATTCTTCCACAAGTGCCTGAAGGCAGACAAACTTTGATGAACACAGAAATTTTGGAGTTTTGCTCTTTTCACAGAATCATAGAATCACAAGCTTGGAAAGGACCTACAAGATTTAGTCCAACCATCCTCCCATCACCACTGCTACCACAAGCACTAAGCCGTATTTCATAGGCGCCTCTTGAACACTGCCAGGGACGGTGACTCCACCACCTCCCTGGGCAGCCTTCACAGTGCCTGACTGCTGTCTGAGAGAAGAAGTTTTTCCCTATGTCTAACCTAAACCTCCTCTGGTACAACCTGTGGCCATCTCCTTGGGTCCTGTTTGTTACCTGCAAGAAGAAGCCAAACCTCTCCTCACCACAGCCTCCCTTCAGGTAGTTAAGAGTGCAATGAGGTCTCCTCGGAACCTCCTTTTCTCCAGACTGAACAATCCCAGCTCCCTCAGGAGCTCCTCATAAGGGCTGTGCTCCAGATCTCCCACCAGTTTTGTTGCCCTTCTCTGGACACGCTCCAAGGCCCCGCTGTCTTTCTTGTAGTGAGGGGCCTGAAACTGACATATAAAAATATGAATCCCTGAAAATGTCATGGCAAATGATATCACACCACAGCGATAAGCTCAGTCTTTGTGCCTGCTAAGCAACAACTTTCTCAATAAAACAAAGACTCCAGGATGGACAAAGGCAAGGTAGTGCTCTCTGCGGCTGGTAACAAAGGAGCAGAGTCCTGGAGGCCTTGCTTCTAGTAAGAAGTTCACAGTTGATGATGCTTCTGCAGCACAAAAAGCATGAGACAATTCTGAAGTCAGACAAATCTTTACCTCCTGCCACCTCGCTTCATCAAACAGATAGCGCATGGAAGGGGTGAAGATGACAGATGACATATATACAAAGATGGCAGTTAACATATATAATGTTCTATTTGCATTTGCTTCTAAATTTGGCCACAGGAGGTCATGAGTGTATAGCCTCAATCAGGACACTGCTCATAAGCAATGTGTTGGTGGCAAGATGAAGTCCACAGTCACTCCAAGCTACATGGAACACTGCTACATAAAGGCTGTCTCCAGGTCAGAGCCAGGCAACAGGCAAATTCTGCTCAGGTCTTGGAGAGCTTCAAAGATGGCAGGGTCAGGTTATTTGTTTCTAGAGAAACAATAGCTGCATCACCCAGAGCAGTTTCCAGTTGGGACAGAGGTGCACTGCAGACAGTAGGCCCAGCAGAACTGGGAGCACAGTTCTACTAACACCAGTGGAAGCAAGGATAAAGTGAAGATGTTCATGTCACTACTCCCAAATGCAGAGATTGACATGGAGTGGAAGCAGTTGGAAACATATGAGGGTGGGGGGGTTCTTCCTAACTGCGTCTTGCAACCTAACTTCTCACTCCAGACAATTTAGAATGAAGCTTCACAAGGAAGAAGAGAAGGGAATGCCAGAAAGAACAGGCAGTAAGAAGATCAATCTATGCCACACGAGTCAGACCTCACACCTTCAGGACACAGGTGTGCAACAGAAGCTCATGACCAAAGCTCTCTGAGAATCTCTATGCCCCAGATGAGTGATCCAGCTACTTGTAAAATAAAAGCATGGAAACCATTTCATGAAATAAGGAAAGCATCACTGAGGGGAATGAGAAGGTCACCTATCAAACCAGGGTAACGATATTCTAGCATAAGGTGACTGAATCATTAATCTTACACTAAGAATACCTTTTTTTTTTTTGCGATGGAGCATCTATGTGTGAAAGCACAAGTGTTTGGAGTGAGCAGGCAGCTCAGCCTAAAGAGCTGGAAAATGGGCTCCTCTGCAGGGAGCTGTCAGCTATTCCCCCTCTCCTGTGCCAGGATTGGAGTGCTCAGCCAATATAGAATTAAATGGACCTGGACAAAGCGGCTTCCTGAGGAGCATAATTGCAGCTTGGAGTGCTCTCTAATTCAATTAACAGCATCATTTATCAGAGCCAGCTGAGATTTACACTTGCTGACATCAATGTGAGACAGTGAGTTCCAGAAGCCTCCAGTTCAGCAGGAGCATGTTTATTTTCAGAGAACAAGATCTGCAGGGATTTTTGTTTTATTTCTCAACGTTCCTTGCTCTGCAGACACTGAGCTGCAGACCTGAAATCTCCACTGCCTCCTTCCCTCACAGTTCAGTTTGAAGTAACACTCTTCAATTCCCTCCTCCCGTTTATCAAAAAAAGCTGCATTTTCACAGTGCTTTTACACTTACTTGCTAGGTAGCAAGGGGCATTTCCCACTCACTGGAGGGAAGCAGGTGCCAGCTTTAAGAACTGCATCATTCCACTGAGCTGGCAGGGGGAGGGACACGTTCAGAGACACACAGCCTGGTTCATTGCATGAAGCTCCTGATGCACTTCCACTGACCCTTCCCTCAAACCTTCACGTCACACTTGGGGAAGATCTCTCCCCACAGACCCACTGGCTCTGGGATCTTTCCAGCTCATACATTTCCAGCACCTAATGTCTCATTCCAGCCCTTTCATCTCATTGCTTCCTCAGTCAGGATGCTCTCCAGTCTGAGCATCTGAGACTCCTTGCAACAAGTTGCTGCCCCGCGATGAGATTCTACTTTCGCTACAAGAACCCAACCTGTTACTCAAATCAAAATGATCGTACAAGTTTCTGCTGCTTTGCTTAAAAATAAGTTACTATCAAGAAGCGCTCAGCTTCTTCTGGATTCAGCCACAATCCTGAGCAGCCAGACAGACATTTATGCTTGGCAGTGCGCTGGTGTTTGGCTCTAAATAGGGCAATTATTTCATTTTATACATTTTCCCTGATAAGAAGAAGAATTAAGAAAAAAAAAAAAGAAAGAAAGAAAGGAAGAAAAATTTCGTAGAACAACTCATGGAAATAGCATTACAGCAGGGAAGAATGACAAAGACTTGCTTCACTACCAAGCTATGCACTTCTCTCCAATGTAGTAACTCCTGCTGATCCTAGGCAGCACTGCAAAAGCACCTGTATGTATCTTTAAAGCAGAAATGCACAGAGCTTCAGACATTTGGGGGTGAAGAGCAGCAAAAGGAGTCCACTGCAATGCTCATGCAAATGCTTCTTTTGCCTCATTAGTGAGAGTCATTGGCCACTTTATTCTCCTCTCCTGAAGTCCTGCTCTAACACAGCAGCAGGTCTTTAGGCAAACAAAAAGCCATGGCAAGGAAACTCATTTGTGTCAGCAAGCCAGGAACATGAGAGTAACCCCACGAAAAAGCATATCATCACTATTTCTCACTGTCTAACTGCTTTCATCAGCCCTACTCCCTGGAGGGATCTATTAAGAGGAAGTAATAATGTCTCATATAGAATACCAGAGGGCACTGAATCCTGTGCTGTCTGCCCCAATATGTCAGCTACATGGCCAAAGCTTTAAATGGCTAAATACCCATCTCCAAAGAGCTAAGAGTTTCTGTCTTTGTAGGAATGTATTAGAAATACTCCCACTCTCACAAAATGGATTCCACAGTTTGCCTGGAGGATAGCAATTTCAACCCCTGCAGGGTTGAAATTCTGACAGAGGTCTGCTACAGCAGCTCTCCAATGTCTAATAAAGGTGACACCTTGGTCACTTGCACTCACTGTGGCCGCCTCCTCTCTTCATCTGCCAGCTTCATAAAACATACAGGAGTTCACTCTGAGACTGACTTACATCTGTCTATCGAATTTGGCTGAAACAAGACTGCAGATTCAGAAGTCTGCTGGGAAAAGATGATGTACACCTTACTTCTTTAGAAAGGAAAAGAAGAAACATTACATCAGCAAGAAGCACAAAGGATGGACTCCTTTTAAAAATAATCCTCGTTCCCCTCCTCTTCCTGGCTTGCTTCGCCCTCTAAAGCAACCTAAGTAATTAACACTGCACATACATCTTTGACAAAGGTTATAATGTGGCGAGCAAGCTGCCCTTACATGAAACTGGATTTTAAGCTGGCATTTGCCAGTTTATCTTTCTTTCCTGCATACAGCTGCTGTAAGCAGACTATTGCACAAAATCAGTTCACAGATCTGTCAGTCTCTCACTAATTTCAAACAATAAAACATACCTGGAAGCATCTAGGAATGGCTTGTAGGCAATGGTTACCCACTCCTCTTTGTTGGAGGAGTATCTTGGCTCCCTTGGGGCTTCAGCTGCTGTATCCAAGTCCACTAGATAGTGGCATTTGGAAATGTCAATCTGTAAAAAGAAAGACTCTTGCTGTTTATTTCCTTTAGGCTCCTGATTGCATGCATTCATATAGGAATTTTTATTCATAAAAGCTGTTACACACCTATGAGAATGGGCTTAAAATTTCTAGCAACATAAGAAATACTTTATGGTAAAAGATTCTTAGTGTATTCAAGTAAAACTTTTACTGAGGAATAAAAGCTCTCACTACTGCTACCACAGGAGGAGAAGCCTGGGCTGTCTGTATGAGGAAGTAGCACTGCTAGGTACATTGCTGAGGAACCTCCAAGTCACAAAGGGAGAATTTGAGGCAGTAGAAATAATTCTGCTGGTGTTTGACTTGAGGCTGTCTAACAAACTCTTAAAGACTTCTCATAGTGCTGACTCAATGAACTCCCCAGACAAAAGACATTATCTTCATTGCTGGAAAGGTTTCCTGATGTCTAAACTGAATATTTATTTTTTTGTCTCAGTTTTTACTCTTTCCTACTTGTTTTACACCACAAACAAGGAAAACAAACCCAATAAATGATTACACAAACTCCATAACTAGTTAACTCTGCAAGTCCCAAGGTACTGACCAAGCCATGGAAAGCAAGCAGTCGCAGAACGGCAAGCATGTTACCTAGTGCAAATCATGCTGGGCTTGTGCAGGAATAACCTGGTCTGTACCACTGGTGACCATCACCATCTCTCTTACAGTAGATGGACACCACATTGCACCTCTCAGACCACATGCACTTGCTGTCAGTGCAGTCATGCTTTTGTCAGCTGCCTATGACTTAATTAACTGCTTTGCCCTGACCAAAATGTTTGGGAACACTTGGTTAAATTATGAAAATGTATTCAAGGTAGCAATGTCATCAATGATTTGTGTGTGCGTGATCTCCCCAGTAAAATGAGCTGTGGGCAGTGTCCTCAGTGTCCTCGCATTGTTCAATCTGTTTCCTTCCAGTGGGGAATTGCTCTTGGATATGAGCAGGGAATATTGTTAATTCATACACAGCACTGTCCTTTTTAGGCAACAGCTCCCTCCTCCTGCCTGTTTTCCTCACTCCTTCCATGTTCCCCTGCAGACATACATGCAAGCTGCTGAGACAAATATCAACTATCAGATATAGAAAAGATTTGAGCTCCTATCAGGACAAACTTCCTTTTGACAATAAGCATGAGATGTAGGATAAGTTCTGTACAAGGCAGCTCAACACAAGGTTGCCTTGTACAGAAACCACTGCAATAAGCAAAAAGATCAAGAGAATAAGACAGGTACATACAAATAAAAGCTCATATCCTCCTCTTGAACATCTAATTGTCTCTAAGTGACACCATAAGTCATTTTCAAAAATGAATTGAGAACTCTAGAGCCTGAGGCCATGTTTACATTGCATCAGGGTGGCTGCGCCACTGCAATGCACCAGTGAATGGAACCTCTCACAGGTACAGCAGCAAGGCTGAGCTTCTGGTGGCATCATGACTCAGCCACTAGAGCAAAGCAGCTCCTAGCACTTATTGCCTCTGTACCTGCATATTGTGCTGGCACTAGGTTCACTCATTCTCACATTTGGCACACAGACTCATCTTTCTGGCAAAAGCTCACAGTAGTGATCTCAGAGGCAGTCATGGCCCCCCACATCGGCCCATCCTGGATGTCCCATCTTTAGTGTTTCTTTCTGTCAGCTAAGAATGTCCAGAACTCTTGGATGCTTCTTCTGGTTTTCCTGGCCTGCTACCCCCCTCCTTGCAACATGTCAGTGCTCCCACATACCAAAGGGTCTAACAGCTCCCATTCTGGTCACTGAGCATTGAACATTAAATTGTAGTGGTGCTTTGAAATTTCTGAAAAAAAGGCACCAGAGGAATACAGAACAACTTGGTAACTATAGGTTGCATCCTCCACTGATCAGGATATTTTGATCTGGGAAACATCGGAGTACTAGAATAGATACATTTAGATACAGAAAAAAACCTAAGCAGAATCTTTACTCAGGTTAAAAGGAACAGAAGATAGTTTGTAATTCCTGGTCAATAAACAACTGCACTCTGACAGCCTCCTTAGCTGCATTGATGTTTCACCCCTGTGAAATGCAAGGGAGAGAAGAAAGACTGATTTTCTGACTGCCCAAAATGTAAGTAGATTTTTTTGCCACCAGATGGCTCTGTGGCATCACAACTGAACGGTAAATGAACGACACCACGGGAAGCTCAGCTAATGAGAACGTTGAATCCATTTCTTGCACTGCATCAAAAGAACGTTCCAGGCCCTGGGAGAGGACACCCAAACCACTAACCAATATATACATACATAACATATATACATATGTATATATTTCCTCTAAGTTACATAGAATTTCTTGGAGAAACAAAAGTAACTGCTTTGAGTACTAAGGCTGATCTGACTTTTACTCCAAATGCTGCACCTCCAGTGCTTAGGAATCACCTGCCACATAGAGAGACTCCCACTTCTACCATTTCATGTAGAACACAGTGTTTGCTTACAAGTCACAGTGAAGCAATAACAACATTCATCCTGGTCAGAGGGCCAGCACTGCTACGCATCTGTTTGAGGATGTACACAAGATTTTAGTGGTGCACAGATCTTGAAGTGTTTCTCTGCAGAAAATCAGCCTCAGTGAATTGAATGAGAAACGAACTTCTAACTGCACCCTACTCCCTTCAGTTCTACTTTCCTTTTTCTCCTCCCAGTCTTTTTATTTGATGGAACTAAGTGATGGAGAGCTTGGTTTGCTCACATTCCAAACAACAGGGGAGAAGACTGAAGATTCATTCTGCTCTTCAATTCTCAAGCAGAACAGTAATAGATGCTCACAGGTGAAACACTGAAATCAGTCTCACTTCTGCAGACATTAATTGGTTTCAAGCTGCCCATTACTCAGACCATTCTTCTGAACTGTTGTGGCTTTTGTTTTCCTCCCTTTTAAAGGGCCAACACACACATGCTATTTAGATATATTTGCTAGGATGGTCCTTTGCAGTTCCTAATGACTTTTTTTTTTTTTTTTTTTTTTTTTTTAAATCTGGGTATGCCTACAGTTCTTGAGGAAAGATCCTGTTTCTCCTGGTATTAACAGCTCGGAAGCAAAAGTTATAAAAACCTGTTTAAAATTCACATGAAATAGCTAATTTCTAAACATATTCCAGGCCCTTTTGCTTGCTTGAGAAATAGTAAAGGATGATATTATGAAACAACCTCAAAACAAAAGTCTCTCATTCCATCAGTAACAGGGTATGTGCCAGCCAGCTGTCTGCACTATAAATATGTCACAGTTGAAGATTTCCTAAATTAAATGCAGCATAGCAGAGAACTTTTCTCAGGTGGGGATTTGCCTCCTTCCATTTCCAGTACCTATCTAATGAATCCCAAAATAAGAGAGCTTTCACTCAGCAAGATTTCTGCCCACGTGTGTAGAAATCCTGTGTTACAGTGCTGCCTTCCATCCACTCCTCTGAGGGGATCACAAGTGCTCATGAAACGTTTAACTGACCGGAGTAATGAGCCCCATAAAGCAGTGCATGTCCACTGTCCTCAACAAGGATACACTGCTCATGTAAAGGAGAGACCTGGTCCATTACAGGAGTGCTCCTAATGTACTGACAGAGTATCATAGAATCACAGAACAGCCTGGGTTGCAAAGGAGCACAACACTCATCCAGTTCCAACCCCCTGCTGTGTGCAGGTCGCCAACCAGCAGCCCAGGCTGCCCAGAGCCACATCCAGCCTGGCCTTGAATGCCTGCAGGGATGGGGCACCCACAGCCTCCTTGGGCAATCTGTGCCAGTGCCTCACCACCCTCTGGCTCAAAAACTTCCTCCTAATATCCAACCTAAACCTCCTCTGTCTCAGTTTCACACCATTCCCCCTTGTCCCATCACCATCCATCCTCACAAATAGCTGTTCCCCTCCTGTTTATACGCCCCCTTTAAATATTGGAAGGCCACAATGAGGTTCTCCCTGGAGCCTTCTCTTCTCCAACCTAAATAATCCCAGTTCCCTCAACCTTTCTTCACAGAAGAGCTGCTCCAGCCCTCTGATCATCTCAGTGGGGACCCGTTCAAAGAGTTCCACATCTTTCTTGTGCTGGGGGCCCCAGGCCTGGATGCAGCACTGCAGATGGGGAGCTGAGTAGAGGGGGGCAATCACCTCCCTCTCCAAATATCAAATCCATCCTCTGAGGTACTGAGAGGGGAATGAAGAAAAGAGCACGTATATAGAGGCAGTCCCCCTCATTCGCTCTTGAGAAAGAAAAGATGACTAAATATCTGTACCACAAAGAATATTCAGTGCACTTCTAAGATTTAATCTGCTACATAATTTTAAAGAAATTAGCAAACAAAAATTTAAAAATATTTTAAAAATTTAAAAATATTTAAAAATAAGCATGAACTATTTTTGTTTGGGTAATACAAAAACAAGTCAGTAATACCAATGTACATTAACAGCTTCCCATAGAAATCACTGACACAGTTGTTTCACTGATTCCCAAATTAAGAACCGCTTCCTCTGTTGCAAATATGTCAAACATATTCATATTTTAAAAGAACGTACAAAAGAAAATTCCAATCTCTGTTCAGTGACAAGTATCTTCTGTTGGCAATTTCAAACTAAGTCATTTCACTTTCCTGTGCTCACAGTAACATTGTAGTGAACTCAAAACTGCAATAACTAGGAATCACCTTTTCCTTTTTTCTTTTTCCCATCCTCTTCAAATGGAAAATAAGAAGATGAAGTGCAAACAGAAGCCAAACTCACATTAATCAGGAAATATCCAAGTGCTGCAGAGAGCCCATTTTTGGTTTGTAACTGTACTGTCCATAGAATACAAAATGGGAAACCCAACCACATTCTAGGCACTGCATTAATATGAATGGCACAGCAAGGTGAGGAACGTAAAACAAGAATGTAATCCTCACATATCGAGATGGCTCTTCCTTGTTTTGGTCGTTCATGTCTGTGGGAATGATCCGCGTGGCCATTGGTCCCTTGGCAAATGGTTTGGGTAACTGGCCCCTGAATTCTGACAGGATGAACTGGAGCTGCCAACTGCAGAGAACAGTGTCAGAAATCCCAGCAGGAAACTGCAGGAGGCAGTCACATTTTGTACAGAATCAAACAGAAGCACAACAAAGGGAATTTCATTGCCAAGGACAGACAGCTCTTTTAGATGAGCAATCACACTACAAAACTATCACTAAGTTGTAACCAACAGTCTGCTGACACCAAACTTCTAAATCTTCTGTTTCGGACATGCTGTTGTCAGAGATACAAGATTTTGAAGGTTACTCCCAAAATACTTCTTGTGTGAAACAACCCTTAAGGACCAACACCAAATCATAACTTCCACGTTACACAACTCACTTGTCTGGCAGAAGAAAGCTACTTGGGAATCTGTGCCATTCCTTCCCCACGCAGACATTAACTGGCCTCCCCTCTGGCACAGTGTGAATACTTGGGTCCGTAGCAATCCTGTGAAATTCTGGGTACAGGTCCAGAGGCCCATGGTAGCCTATGGGAGGCAGCACTTTGTAAATAAAGCTAAAGAAATAGACACTATCTGCATGACATTTTTTAACACACTACAAGCAAACGTTCAGTTATATTTTCAAACTGGTTACTTACTGAATATAATAATTTGTCTGTACTAAGAAGTAACTGGAATCCAATGTTCCCTATCCTATAAGGGATGCTTGTACTACAAAAGTTTCCTCACATTCTCCTGTTCTGACTGTCAGTGGCTAGTATCAAGCAAAAAGTACTGATGCTACCTAACTTCAATGAGGTGGAATCACACTACACAGCTGTGATTGAGGAAAGGACTTGCGTACGGACTTTAATGCATCTCCATTAAGGACAAATGAACAATGACAAGTTTTTCATGGGAAAATGTTATTTCAAGTCAGATTGTATGTCTGCAAGTTTCAAGTCCCCATCTGCATGCCGGTCTGGGTGCACACTGTACATCATTACAGTTGTACCAGCTGAAGGCGAAGGTCAGAAAATTGTTAACTGATACAATTCTAGTGACACACACATAATGCACACCACACACACGCATGTACACACACGAACGAGGACACCATTCCTCTCCCTGGAATAAGATGCAAGCTTTCATATTTCCTTATCCCTACCGTGCTCACCTAGTTAGACCAGCATAACTTTAGCTGGCCGTGTGACTTGCCAACACCAATACCCAGAACAATGGTAAAATACTAACCTCTGAATAAGGCAACAGAGCGTGACAGTGACAAAAGGCCAAAGAGAAAGACAGTGCTCAGTGCCAACCAGTTGGAGGAGATCGTGTAGTGCTCCAGGCGATAGCGCTGGAATATGAAGTGGTAACACTTCTGAGGAGAGGAAAAAAGAGCATATAAACATTTCAGAGTTTGAGCAATTTTATCAAAACGGTTTTTCAAATGGACCTCTAAGCACTGCCTACATCTCCCACCAGGTCTTTGGTCCGTGTCAGCATTTTTCATTCTAACACATAAAAAATACACAGAAATTTACACGGTTCAGTCAAGTTTTTTAACTATGAATCTAGGGTACTTATAAATTTTTCAGCTGCTCCCCCTAGGAAGGCCTCTAGTCAAGCTGTAAAGCACCCTCCACCGGAGCTCTAGCTTGGTTGTTCCCAAGTGAACCATCAGCACAGACCCTTCCAGAGACATCCTGCAGGACTTGCCTGCACTGACCAACCCTGATGACAACAGGATGTCAAACAGTACATTAAAGTATTCATTTAGAAATACACACTAGGGATTTCTAAGACTGTATTTGGCAAGCATCCCAAACTGCTGTCATCTGGTGAACATTCCAACAAACACAAGGTAATTCTCAGAAACAAAACTTCTGACATTACAGAGCTTGATCCTGCAACAAATGCAAGGACCAAAATGCATCTGGGAAGTTCCAGCCTAGCAGTGCAAAGCAGCAGTACGTAAGGAGAGATCAAGAACCAGAAGAGCAACCAGCTGTGCTGGTGAGGGAAGCTGAGTGCAAGAGCAGAAACAGAGCTAGGCAGAACAGCTGCAACGGGCTCTAACAGGGATGAATAACTGCAATCCTTCTCTTTCACAGAGGAGAGATAATTAATTTGGAGCTTTGGGAAGGCTGATAGAATGCTTTACTCTGTGATACATCACAGCTACTTTTTACTCAATATAGGTTTTTATTCTTCAAATGCCCAAAACAATTTTCTTACGCCTAAGCAAGGTTACTTTTTCAAATCAGTGAGACTACTCCAGCAAGTTCCTAATCGCTGTGACATCCCTTGGACGTGATGTCAACACCACAACATCACAAGAGCTCCTCACCAGCAATTCCCCCTGGAAAAAGGAAGGACTCAAAGTCATCATGAAATAATCAGTTGAGGAAATATTTTCAACTGTTTGTCACTTGACATAACCCCAGATGGGGATGTTCATAGACCATACAGACTATTATGAAGTCTGCATTGGAGGCTAAGGTTATTAGATTAGATCCTTCAGCATGTTATCCAGAGAGGGAAATCCCAAGTATTTTTGCTGTTGTAATCACAATTTACAGAGGGCTAACATATTTTGATATACTCTCAGTCAAACTATACAGGGAGACTCTGGTTTATGTTATAAAATCAACATTACACAGTTCAGTATTAATGCATTTTGCTTCCAGAGTCTCAAGACCTACCTATGAAACATGGTCCAAAAATGAAAATTAGTTAGCAGATTAAAAGTGACCAAAAGTTACGCATGGGACATTCTTGAACTATGTAATCATTACAGACTGTGTCACAACCACACATACTCTACACATATTCCCAAGCTTTCGGAAAGAGTGTTAAGAAAGGGAGCACTTAGCTCCCTAAAGCTATGAGCTCATAACAGAACAATAAAACCCACATTCCAGAAACTTACCTGAAGAGCAGACAGAGCTACAGCACTGCAGAGACATATGAGAGGATAGATGGGAAAGAGAAACCTCTCTTCTTTGTGGGGCTGGCTGAAGAAAATTATGATCCAAATGTACATCGGAGCTAGTGTCAGCCAGTAGGGACGGCCCAGATTCTGAACTGAAAGAAACAAGAACTCAGCAGAGTAGCAACACTGCATGTTTACACCACTTTTCCTCTTGCACGCACACCCATCGGGTGCATGATCACATTTACATTCAAAAGCCCACTCTTCTGAACCAACTCACAGCCTTCAGGCAAACGCACTGCATTCTGAGCAGCTAAAATTCAGGTAATACATCCAGTCAGCACACAATTCTACTCAGATAACTGTCATAGCTTCCCATAACACACAGACTCTTGAAGACAAATGCAAAGATGAGTGGACGGGTCATTGAATCCACATAAGGGACAAAATCCAGCAAGAGCTGACATTCCCAGGCAGGCAGGAAAGCAGAAACTGCCTGTCCTGTTGTGCATTACGCTTCGCATGCAGAGATCAGAATGAATCTCCTCTGGATCTATTCTTTGCTTTTAAATGGCATTTTGGGCTCTGGTGTTTCCACAACCCTCCTGGCTTCATTATAAAAATAACAGCACAAGAGGTCTCTCAGGTATCTTCTGGTCAATGCAGGAAATAACTGATTCAAAAGTAACAAAAGTTACCCTCAATTTTAGTCACAATGAGGATGGGTCCCAGAGCACCTAACATTTTTCAATCCCTTTTCTGCCCCTTTGCTACTGCCAGCAGCAGAGAGAAACAATTAAGCTAACAGTGTTTCACAGACAATGAGAACAGAGCGCTCAGCAGAGTGGTTCCTACTGTTAAAAGAACACCAAAATCTTGCATTCACACGATCTCCTGTTGAACTCCTACCGGTTTCTGACAGTCTGTCAGTCACATCCAAAGAACATATATTTGCAAATGGCCACTAACACACATTATCAGCAAAGATTATGGTAGTACTGTTTCTTGTATTCAGTAAAAAATCACAGGGCAGAGCCCCAGCTGGGCAGATGAAACTGGAAGCATCAGTTGACATTTAATGAGCCCTCGTCTGGAAAATGGCAAGGGAAAATTCATGCTTTCAACACATCTTTCCTTATATAGTCATTTGCCAGACACCATGTATTCCAACTGATGTTATTTTACTTAAGAGAAAGCCCAGTAGGAAGTAGGGGATATTCTAGTCCCTCCTTTCTCTACTTTCAGTATACCCATGCCTGTGGGAATGCTTCCCAGTGCAGACCATAGCAAGACTGTCTGCCAGGGCTCAGTTCTGCAAGTAGAGAGTGCCCATTCACAGCACACAGAGCCCAGGCTCAATCCCAACATGGGCAGCAGGAGACTCCAGAGAATGCCTTCTGGCAGGCTCAGCACCAATAAGGGAAAAGCTGGAAACAACTCTGCTCTCCCCAGATGTTGCAGTAATCACTATGACACTGATAACAAAAGATAGTTTCAGAGAAGTGTGCAGGAAAGGCTGCCATTTCCAGCTGCAAAGACAGAAATGGCAACGTAGTTTCTTCCCACCTTAAAAGTTCTGACAGGGCTATTGCTAATGCATTTGTATGCCTGGCTGAAGACCGTGTACTGTAGAACTTGTTAAGCTTATTTTGGGTATGAATAGTTTAGCATTGACAACACAATATTATTCTTGAGGTGAAGACAGAGAACACAGGAGTCATCCTTAAACAGGAAAAGCACATTCCTGCCCTTTTGTAGACGGCATCTCACTGCCTCTTCTTTCTACACAGTAATTCCATTGTGAGGTCAATACTGAACCAAGTAATGAGCTCTAGGAACTTTGCTCTCATTCCCTAAACTTTCCCTGATCCTAGTTTCACTTCCAATAAAAAAAAGCTGCTCTTTGGCAAATCCTCCTTCTTGTCTCTCATATCCGTCCTGCACTCACCATGAAATTTCTGAAGCAGACTCTCCATGAGACAAGTCAGTGGTAGCACAAGCAGTGCCAAAATAAATGCCACATTGAAATTCAGAAAGCCATTGATGAAATAGAAGGACCATGGTTCTGTACCTGAAAGAAGAGAAAAGGAAAGAGTATTTAAGCACAAGAATGCATGAGAACTGGGTGTCATAGCAACTTCATTCCTTCTCTGCCTGACACAAGGAAGATACCCAGCAGCAGACAGCAGTTCTCTGCACTGCAGGTATATTGAAACCAAAGAATGGAAAAGGTGTGCACAAAAGATCATTGTTTTCTTTGTCATAAGTGACTTCACTTTTTTCCCACTGGATCATAGTCAACATCACACACGCTGCTCATGTTTCACAAGCCACTTTAACAGTCAGACTTGCCCAGCAACAAACAGGTTCTGCAACACGGAACTCACCCCTGCCCTAAGAAAGCCTCCAAAACAAGAGGCTGAAACTTGTGAAATCAGGAATTTCTACTCCAAATTCATTCTAATTGTAGAGAAATAAAAGATGCAACACAAAACCACACAATGCTAATAGATGATTATCAGCCTGGAGTGATGATGTATTTATACACCATGTCAGCAGGAACAGAAAATGGACTAAGAGGAACAAGAGTTCACATTCACACTTCACCCCAACAACTGAAGTTCATCCAGATGCCAGCTCCGTTACCTCCTCAGCAGCAGAACTTTTTTAGGCTTCCCTGGTTCGACTGGTTTTAAATGTACTTTTTAACCGGAGCAAAAAACTCCGCCTCCTAATACTACACACTAATAGTTGCAAGGACTGGGAGAAATTCCCAGCTAACAATCATTTAATTGGATGCTTAATTCACGATGCTTAAAATCCTGAACAGTAAGGAGTGCTGGGTCCTTGCACTTTTGCAGTGTGATTAGCTCAACCAGTCAGTGACTGACAGGATGGTGCTTAAATCACTGCATTGTTGTGACAAGAGTCAAATGCCACAGCAATTTCCTGCACCTACAGCCACTTAGAGAAGGGTCTGTGTTGCAATTAATCAGACAACTGAGGAGCAGCAAGAAAAACCACAATCCTCTGCAGCTCCTACAGTTAACATGATTAGAAGATGCTCTACTAACGTCAGAATTCCAAGCAACTGAAATACACAAAACATGCAGCTGTTAGCACTAAAAGCAAACAGCAGTTACAAGTTCAGGTTTAGGGAAGCAGAGATCCTTAAGGAAGTGAATTATTAGCTCATCTTCTCTCTCCCTCCATATGCCTCGTAATTCTTTTCAGTCTCACAACAGTATGTGAGAGTCTGAATAAGAGATATTAGTCCAGAAGTAGGATGCTGCTGAAGAAAAAAAACAAAAATCACACAACCTTTTCTCTTAGACTCAAGCCTTTATGCAAACCAAAAAAATACTACAGTGCTTACACTGAAGATGATATAGGTTAATTATTCCCATCACATCAAAGCTGGGAAATCCCAGTTGCAAACCCGCAAGGCACTGGACAGCCTTCCATCTTCCCTTACAATGAAGCGTTCTGAAGTTCCAAACCCACCTTGTCCTGACCACACTGCACTGAAGAGCAGTTTCAAGCAAAATCTTTTTCTAGCCAGAGGATGTCATGCGAATGTCACTACTGTGGGAATCAAATGTTGTTTCTGCATAAGAATTGGATAATATTATTTTTATTTCATGATCTCCACTATCATAGTTCTTCTTGGGAGTCCTTCTACTTAACTTGGGGAAGATCTCTGACAGTTTACATCACTGATCCTCTAGACGAACCTTCCCAGGAACGCACGCTCTGTATACAGGTGTGTATCTGTATATTTTGTCATACACACTGCAAGAATATCCTGCACGAGAGCAAACCAGAGAACAGTGATGGCCTGCCCGAGGAAGTGCCTGAAGAGACATCGGAAGGCCTGGCATCACCCCCAGTGCTCTTTGTTCAACAAAGACTTTAAAGAAAATCACCGCATTGATAGGACAAGGAGAGCACTGAGACATCTTGGAAACAACAGGATGGCTGCTGACTGACACCAGGTAACAAATAAATTAACAAGTAAATAGCAAATGTAAACCTTCTGTAAGACTGTGAACCTGGAGTACCCAGCCAGTGGGGAAATAGGGGAGGGGGGGAGGCAATGGGGAGAAAGCAGGGTCTAAAGGCTGCCATGTTGTGTCCATAGGCGCTCCTGCTTGCGGGACGCTGCCATTGCAACTGTGAATAAAATCTGCTGTTATCAGAGATACCGTCCTGACAAACATTGCTTGGATATTTCCAAAACTATGAATAAAACCCTTCAGAAAAAAACTGGTCCCTGGAGGCTGCTGGAAACAACTCATGCTCCATGTGAAAAATGTCAGGCACAGGCCCATTCCAAAATCCAAAGGCAGAGCCTGAAGTTTTCACTGCAGAAAATTCACAGCGACAGACTTCAGAGCCTTCCTGCAGAGATAAAGGACCACAGCAAAGCAGCTGCTGCCATGTTGTGTCCCAGCACAAGGAACTCAGCACCACCCAAAACAGCCCCTCAAACAAACCATTGAATACGGCCTGCAGGGCACTGCCAGAGAAAGCCTCACTACCAACCACTGCCAAATCCTCCCTAGAATGTCTCCAAAAAGTATGACAGATGCTGCAAAGAACCTGCCCTGAGCACCCCAAAGTCTCTGCTTGTCTCTCTGGAGCCCTATCAGAAATGCAACACCCCCACTCTCCATCTCTAAAAGCACACAGTGTGAATGACTCGGTGCAGCAGCAGCTCCCAAACAAGTTCCATGGCACTGCCACCAAGATTCACACCTGACCTAGGTCACCCAGTATTCCAAGGGCCAACACCAGGAAAGTCCTGAAAGGCAGATGAGTTGCCTACTGATTAGATATCATTGATGACAACGCTGATGCTCCTTGACATTCACCAATTATTTTTAAGATCTTCAGGAATTCCACTGAGGTCACCAGCTTAGTTATTTTTCACAGCAGTAATTTCCATGTCTGCACTGTCTGAAACGGCCTTCTACATCAATTCTCACTTTTTGCTAACATAAACCTGACAAAATGAAACATTAATACTGCTTTTAGCTCTGTCTCCTTCATAAGCTTAAGCAAAGCACCAGCTTTTCCCCTGTAAACGTAGGTAATTTTTACATTGCTTAAGGAAAAAAATAAAAAGGAGGGACTATCTATAAGCTTTTAGAGTGTATAAGAGTATATTATATAGAGTATAAGCTTTAGAGTGTATAGGAGAGTATCCTGAAAGCTCTTTCCTTAAAGAGCTTCTAAAAAGATGGCAGGAGAAGCCTAAGCATGGTTATCATTACTTGTTACTGACTCTCTCTAACTTATCAGTCTTCAGAACGACTGTTTGCTGCTCAATTTGTTCATCCAAAAGAAATGGGGAGATCAGGTGTTGCCTCTGTGAGCCAAATTGGCTGAAACGCAGCATGATTCCAACAGGTTATTACCCTTTTTTTCTTCTCCAGAGTCCCAAAGATGCCTTTAACCCCACAGAACACAAGTACATCAGGAACCTGATATGAACTGAAGGAACTGTGGGCTCTGCACTGCTATTTATCCTTCCAAGGTTCTGCAGCCTGACCGTGAAGAACAACGGTAGCCAAGAACTGGGTTAAAGCTGACAAATACACACATTCACACACCACTGGTGCCTACTACACTTGTGTTACATCCAGACAAATTTGATATTAACACCACTTTGCTGTGATATTGTGTTGTTGAGACATCTCATGATGGCCGGTAGGGCTTCAAAGTGAATAAAGGCTGCTTAACTCACAAGCACAGAGAACCAGCTCGAGATATTTGACGGTGCCTTGCCAAATTCCAGCTCCAGAGAGACATCCTGTGGTAAAAGAGCTGGAATTGCAACCCTTCAAAGCTTGCAGGATGTCTCTGAGTGCATCAGAAAAAGATCAGCCATGAAAACCTGGTGTGTAACTGTCCCCTGACAGCAGCAAGGAAACCATCGCCTCCCACATCTTATCTTAAACTCACCATAGAGATCAGGTCCGTGGGAGGTGAAGACGTTGTACAAAACAATGTTGAGAGGTGCAACTACCAGCTTCCCATAGTAATAGCTGTCCACAACTACCAGGGGCACCTGAAAGAAAGCATCTGTTATTTGCAGGGAGCCAGAAGCTTTTAGCTGGATCGCCCAACAGCTGTGAGTGATTTTGTTAACTGAACTTGTTCCTTCTATTGTGAACCCAATTCACTCTGTCTCTGCATTGTTACAGGGACTTACCAGAAACAGGATCAGTGACACCACACACCAATTTAAGAAGCTTTTCCACCTCTGCTTCAGTACTAACAAGTCAAAGGCAATGGGAAGCCTGAAACAGAGACCAAGCATCAACTGGATGTTATCATTCCCAGACAGGCAAGAAACATCAGACAAAATGCCAAGTTCCTGGGTTCTCCTCTCCTTACCCAAGAGCTGCACTGAAAGGCCAGCCCACTAGTGCTCCAGCAGCTATGCCTAGCACTGCTACAGAGGTCTTGTCCATATACCAACCAGTCATGGCAATAATCGTGGTATACATGCAGAAACTGCTTGGGAGGAAAGCTGCAAAACAAAACAAAACAAAAAAAAAACCAAAAAAAAAAAAAAAAAAAAGAAAGAAAAGGCTTAGCCCAGCTTTCCCATGATACAAAACTACGTGATGCAAAATAAGGCCAATAACACTTCCTTCGCTCCATTGGAGGTGGGATGCTATGTTGCAAATTCACATTTCAGAGAGGACTCCAGTTCTGCCAAGGCTAGAAATACTCCTCAGTGCAACCCAGCAGTGGTTGGTTACCTGTTGACAGCACCTAAGGCTGCATGGAACATCACCTACAACACCTGCTTTACCTTCTATATTCTGCTAGACTGAGAAAGAAAATGGAAAGTATCTGCTCAAGCAGCAGCAGGAAATGTGACTTGACAACTGGGTACAGACTGGTGAAAAGTGAGTGAAGCACAGGGAGACTGAGGACTTCCTACATTGTTCCTGCAGTGTCATTTCACCATTCACCATTAAAAAAAATAAAAGACAAGAGGGGAAATACTAGTACTCATAAGCTATATTTCCATTTTGGTTTCTGCAGGCGTACAACAGAACAAGCCTTTCCTCACAGCCTGTCTTCACCTCACTCAATACTACAGCAGGTGCTTTATCAGCCTTACAGTAGCTGGCTTGGCAACAGAGTACAGCCAGCCAGAGGACAGAACACAAAGGCAGGTGACAATGCCAAAGTACAAAAAGACAAAGCCCCTCTTTGGATGAAAAAGACAAAATCCTCCTTGGATTAGAACATGTTCAAGGAAGGCAGGCCAATACCCTCTTTAAGTACCCTGGACCACTGCATATAGAACAACAGAAATTCTCTTAAAATGCCTTTGGTTTTTATGGACAAGATCATTGCTGGTGTCACTGCTACGTAAACTCACCTGCTGATGAACAAAACATCCCTGTGCTGAGTACTAAGAAAGCCAACATGAGACGACTCACATGTAGTCCAAACTTCTTGCACACAGCCCTAAGGAAGCAAAAGAGAATCTGAAACCACAAAGATGATCCCAGTACATGAAATAATAGTAGTAATGCATGCAAAGCCACAAACAATCCACAGAGCATCCCAAGAGCTTTAAGGTGAGCAACTCTCATTACTCAGACACTAAAAGCGCTCTGAAGACTGCCTTGAAGACTGCTTTGTATTTAAGATCTTCCTAAGCTATACTAGGTGCAAAACTTGGCTTCTACCAGAGTAATTTCCACTCAAAAAGTTTAATGAAGAAACTGTATCATCATCATTCTAAGATTCGCACCGATCTCAACTCCTCTCTGGGCACAAAGGCCTCGCTCACATTCTTTAAACAAAACCGTGGCCAACAGAAACACGGTGCAACACAATAGTTTGGAAGTCACAAATGAAAAGGCAGCAGGCAAAAAAAAAAAAACTCAGCTTAGACAAGGTAACTCATAAGCTATGATATGTTCAGCAGCATCTCATTAAGTTACCTTGCAAACATGTATTTTGAAGTTTCACTGTGAAGTAATCCCACTTGCACATTTATACATCAGCTTCAGAGCGTACTTCCTCTGGCAGTAACAGCATGCTACCCACACTGCTCCAAAATATTCTCAACAGACAGATTCTAATACTCACTTATAAAAGTAGAGTTCACAAACACAGCTCAGGAATGCCAGGAAGCATCGTAGGAAATAGAAGATAAGAACCTAGGAGATGCACTCAGATTCAGAACAAGGTTTGCAGTGAAGCTTACACACCTACTGCTAACGAGTCCACACAGCACAGGTTCTAACAGGATGGAGCAGCTCCAGCAGCAGTGAATGAATCTCTTTCTAGAGGTCCAGATCCTGCACCAAAGGATGGCTAAAGCTCTTGGCAGCAAAAGGCCTGCCCACTAAGTCTAACATCCTTCACAACAAAGAAAGCAAACTGAAACAAAGCCCACCAATCTGTTTTTTTCTAATTTTTCCTTACTGTTGTTTTCTAAAACATTCCTGAATTATTTTTATTCTATCTTGTGAAATACTATTTTTTTCTTTTATAGTTTACTAGGAAAAAAAAAAAATCAAAACAGTCACTGATAGCAGGAGCAGAAAACAACAGGAGCTTCTAAGACAAAGGGATAACAGCGACAGCTCACAGGGACCAGCGAGAGCCCATGGCTACCAAGCAACTACAAAAGGCAGGAAACACCTGCCCTGTTGGGACAATTTCTCGACCAATACAGAGCCTGGCAGAGCTTCCCTGCAAATGCCTGCTCACTCTTCCTTTGCTCTTCTCAAATTGCCTCACAAACCCCTGCATACCCTTACAGAGACGTTAGCATTTGTAGACATAGCGTTTATAAAAGCACTCATTTGTTTCTTAATTCTGACAACAAACAAAGCAGCTGTGTACTACAAACTAAAGGTGCATTTATTCACCACAAAGCAATTCTGATGTATGTGATTTACCTTGTTAGTCTGCAGGACTCTAGCGTGGAACAAGGCTGGTAGGGCATGAAGCCACAGGTACGCATAAGAGCGGATGGCATAGGCTGGAGAGTACTCCCATGTCTGAAACCCCTTCCCATAAATGAGGTAGTGTGTCTAAAATGGAAATTAACAAGCATTTATAAAGTGTTTCACACCACAGACAGTTTGAACACAGTTTATCAAAAGGGTGTCAGAATGCCTACATTTGTGCAGGCCAGATCACAGGCTGGAAATATACCACCTGCAGTGCTGTGCCCAGGCCTGGGGGCCCCAGGACAGGAGGGATGCGGAGCTGCTGGAGCGGGTCCAGAGGAGGGCACGAGGATGCTCAGAGGGCTGGAGCACCTCTGCTGTGAAGGCAGGCTGAGGGAGCTGGGCTTGTTCAGCTTGGAGAAGAGAAGGCTGCGGAGAGACCTCATTGTGGCCTGCCAGTGCTTGGAGGGAGCTTACAAACAGGAGGGGAGTGACTGTGTACAGAGCCTGATGGGGACAAGGGGAATGGTTTTAAAGTGAAAGAGTGGAGACGTGGGTGAGCTGTGAGGAAGCAATCCTTTGGTCAGGGCGGTGAGGCGCTGGCGCTGCTGCCCACAGAGCTGTGGGTGCCCCATCCCTGCAGGCACTCCAGGCCAGGTGGGCCCTGGGCAGCCTGAGCTGGTGGGGGGCAGCCCTGCCCACGGCCAGGGGTGGCACTGGGTGGGCTTTGAGCTGCCCTCCAACCTGAGCACTGCAGAAGCCACCCACCGGCTCCCAGTAGTTGAAGATCTCATCGCAGTCAGAGATGTTGCTGAGAAGCGCAGCGCAGAACCTGGCCGAGATGAGACACTTGAAGGCCGTGGATCCTTCGGGGGCCCACACCTGCCCCGCCTTGCTCCCGGACGGCCTGGTGCAGAGAACACACAAAGCGCGCGCTGCAAACGCAGTAACACGAGCAAACTCGCGGCGTGCCGCCGGGCAAAGGCTGACAGGGGCCCGCACGCGGGAAGTCCCTTACAGCACGCAAGGGCTCGAGAAGCCGCAGCATTTCCGAACATCTCCCCGAGGACGTCCCCCGCCTTCTTCACCGCCCTCCTCCCGTCGGACCGCCGGCTCCGGCCCTACCGTTCCCCGCTCCACCCGCAGCCCCCCGCCACCTCCCGCCCGCCCCGCGCACACAACGCGTCCCGCAGCCCCGCTCCCCCCGCCCCGACACGTACTCCGCCCGAGCCTCCTCTGAGCCCGCCGCCTCCGGCCGCGAGCGGGCCGCCTCCCCTCCGCCCCCTCCTCCTCCTCCTCCTCCTGCCCGCGGCCGCTGCCGGGCCCCTTTGGCCGCCATGCCGACTCCGGGCAGCCGCCCGCCCTTTCGCTTCCTCCAGCGGACGCGACGGGAGCGGAGCCGAAGCCGCGGCCGCCATGCCGGGTGTGGGCACGGCCGCGCTCCGCCTGCGTCGGCTGCCGGGGGCGGGAGCTGCTCTGCGGCACGGGCGAGCGACGGGGAACGGGCGGGAGCCGCGCCGTGCCGTGCGTGCCTGCAGTGCAACCGGAGCTTCCACAGTAACCGTCTGTAGCACAGCGCTGTTGTATCGCAGAGTCATCTCAGAACGGCTCAGGTTGGAGGGGAGCTCAAAGCCCACCCAGTGCCACCCCTGGCCGTGGGCAGGGCTGCCCCCCACCAGCTCAGGCTGCCCAGGGCCCCATCCCACCTGGCCTGGAGTGCCTACAGGGATGGGGCACCCACAGCTCTGTGGGCAGCAGCGCCAGCGCCTCACCGCCCTGACCAAAGGATTGCTTCCTCACAGCTCACCCACATCTCCACTCTTTCACTTTAAAGCCATTCGCCTTTTTCCTGTCCCCATCAGGCTCTGTACACAGTCACTCCACTCCTGTTTGTAAGCTCCCTCCAAGTACTGGCAGGCTGCAGTGACTCTTCTCCAAGCTGAACAAGCCCAGCTCCCTCAGCCTGCCTTCACAGCAGAGGCGCCAGCAGCTCCACATTCCTCATCATGTTCTCTCATGCCCACTTTCTGAGCCCATCCAGGTCCCTCTGGATGGCGTCCCTTCCTGCTGTTGTGTCCGCTGCACCACTCAGCTCGGTGCCATCAGCAAACTGCTGAGGCTGCACTCCATCCTATCTCTATCACTATATATCACTCCATCCTATCATCTGTCGCTGATGGAGATGCTGAAGAGCTCCGGTCCCAAGATCGACGCCTGGGGGACACCACTCATCACCGGCCTCCACCTGGACATGGAGCCATTGACAGCAGCCCTCTGGCTGCGACCATCCAACCAATTGCTTATCCTCCAAATAGCCCAGCCTTCCAATCCATCTCTCTCCACTTTGGAGATAAGGATGTGGTGCAGGACTGTGTCAAAGGCACAACTCCAGGCAGGTGACATCAGTTGCCCTTCCTTTGCCCACCGATGCCATCACTCCATCACAGAAGGCCACTGCATGGGTCAGGCACGCTCTGCCCTTGGTGGAGCCGTGCTGGCTGTCTCGGATCACCCCCTCACCTCAATGTGCCTTAACAGCTCTTCCAGGAGGATCTGCTCCATGATCTTCCCACACACAGAGGTAAGATTCCCCGGCCTGTAGTTCCTGGGTCTTCCTTTCTTCCTTTCTTTTCTTAGAATAGGAGTGTTTCCTTTTTTCCAGTCACCGCAGACTTCACCTGCCAGACACAATTTTTCAGATATGATGGAGAGCAGCTTGGCAACCACATCAGCCAGTTCTTACAGAACCATGGATGATATCTCCTGGCCCCACAAACTTGCACACATTCAGCCTCATGAAGTGTTCTCAGACTTGCTTGGGCCGATATCTCTTTTTATCTTTTATGATCAGCTTACCCTATCAAAGAAAGGCTCTACTTTAAGAAACGAGCTTTCATTACACACACGCGCACACAGCATGGAGGTGTCCACTTTTTATTTTCCACATTTACAATGTAGGCAGATACTGGACTCCACCTTTGTAAGAGATGCTGCAACACCACACAGCACTGTGAGATGCAGCCACGTTCTGCAGACAGCAGCACCACACAGCCCTGCCGCAGGGCCACATGGAGCCCTGCCCCAGCACCACACAGCCCTACCTCAGGGCCACATGCAGCCGCTGAGAGATTTCCTCCCTGAAGCGCAGCTGCATGGCTGCCACCTCCCTGCGGCCCAGCGCCCTGTCGCAGCTCTGGAAGGTGAGCCGGCAGCACACACTGTTCCGGCCTGTCCCCGGCTGCTGGAAGTCATCAAGTAAATGGATGGATGCCACCGCTTCATCTGATACTTCTCTAGCAATGGTGTGAAAAGCAACATCATCCAATTGTTCCCCATCGGGAAGCCAAAAGCTGACGTCATGCACATAAGAAGGTGGGTAGAGAGAGAAGCTCCTGAAAATCCGTAGCTCTCCTGCAGGAAACTGACGGAGGAAGCGTGCGTCTGATGTCCAGAGCATGCGCCAGTCATCTATGGCACAGATGAGCATGGCCACAAGGTCCAGATTCAGTGAAACAAAGAAAACAACCAAATCGCTGCCTGCTGGCTCATACGAAGCTGTCCGCACTGCACCCACACAAGAGCTCCTCTCCAAGGAGTCCCGAGTATCTGCCTCCATGCAGAGGAAGAATTGCATTTCACCAAGCTGAGATTCAAAAGCAGCAAAGTCATTGAGCTCAGCTGTTCCCAAGCTCGTTGCTTCCTGCAGACTAATGCTCAACTTAAAATCAGAAATGCTCTGGTGAAGAGAATGTATGCTGGTTTTAATTTTGTCCACTACCATCTGTATACAGCTGTTCTCTGAACCTCGGTTAACTGCACACACAAAAACCATCTCATGAAAAACAGGCATACAGTAAGGAGAGATGCGGCACTTCCTGAAAACTGGGCCAGAAAAAACGTAAAGTGTTCCTGGGACAAAAGCTGCACTTTTTATTAGTTCCTGAGCATAAGGCAGAAGGGAAGGTCTAAGATAACACCACTGTGGAGTTTGACATCCCTCCTGTACATTCTGATCTGTGTCCCCATGAAAAGCAACATGGGAAAATAAAATTGCGTTTGCCTGCCCACCAGCCATTTCTTCAGCACTTGGAGTCTCCTCTGGTCTTGGAAGGATCCAAAAAATGTTTGAGTGACAAGCAGCATTGAGGTGACCTTGGAGGAGCAGAGAAAGGCAGTAGTCAATGCTCTGCAGTGGGAAGGCTTGGCTGAGCGCTGCAGTGAGCTTCTCCTTTATTGTCTGTACTGGATGGTTTGAATTTCGCTCTAGGAAACCCCTGTGAAAAACAAAAATGCAAATTACAGACACAGCAGACAGATTTCCCTGCAAAACCCTCCTATCATCATAACTTGAGCAAGGCAATTTACTCAAAGCAGTATCAGACATCAAGCTTGCTTTCAGCAACTAGTCAAGTCTTTCACCAGGGGCACTGCAACCACTGATGTGCTGTCAGGATGCTGGGCATGCCTCTAGGCTGCAACCTACTGCTCCCTGTGCTTTAGCCGGTGGAAGGGAATGGAACTTAACTGTCAGCGTCACCAAGTTTCCAGTCATCACTGGCATTACCAAGCTATGGAAACCAGTCACCTTTTCCTAGCCCTGCACAGTTTCCAAGGCATGCAGCAGGGCAAGTATGTGATGATGAGCACTCTTTACCCTAGTTAGCCTTAATATTGCAGTAACAGCAGACACAAAGTCAGCTCCTTGTTTCTTCCAAGGTACGGTAAAATAGATTAAAAGGTTTCATTATCTGTGTGAGCAAGCATACAGTAGCCTGGCCTCAACCACGGAGTTCCTTTTTTCTTCCATAGGCTTTTTTTTAAGTAGTCCATAACCACAACCAACACAAAGCAGACTTCAAGAAGAAATGGGAAAGAAAATCCTGTACAAGGAAAAGGAGGGAATGTGAAGCAGTTCCATTTTATCAGAGACCCATACTGGTCATTCCCACTGAGAGGACGCACGTTACTGCCAAAGTGACACCAGTTGTGTAACTTACCTGTTAATTTTATCCACAAGTACTTGCGGTACTTGAAATGAAATTCTTTGTCCGTTCAGCTCTGTCTCACAGATCAGAGGCTTGCAATACAGAAGTGGTGCGCTCCGAGTAAAAACGTGGTTTAAAGCACCCTCTATGCAGAACGATTTATCTTGACTCCTGGCAATACATAAAAGCACAGCAAAATCATTGACTCTTTCCTAGATTTAATGTGACATAAGGGAGGGTGACAAAGATAATTCACCTTAACACTAACACGACTCTTGCTGAATCCCTGATCTTGTTAGACAACAAAAATGCAACTTAGCATATTTATATGGATAGATGGTCCAATACTGAAATAATCTGCACAAATAAATTGTGTGGTCTGCATCTTGCTCTGAGTGACCTGTTCTACCTAGCTCTGCAGTTGAACTGCAATTAACTGACTGCTGGAGGTCCCTGCCAACATCCACCATGCTGTGACTATCTCAATCAGACACATATGCCACAGTCCCCACATTGTCTTTAGGCTAAGATTGACTTTTACTCTGAAATGGACCATTTTAACCTTTAAAATTCTAAGATAATCTGATCTTTTCAAGAGTACTTTCTCAAGAAGCTTGCATTTTCTTCTGGGCTATTCTGCTTATAGGCAAAGATGAACTGCAGCTGTTCTACGGAAAATTAAATAGGTTCTCTCTCCAATAAACAACATACTAAAAGATCACATGAGTGTGACAGGCACGATGAAAGGACATGTATCTGCCACGCCGCAGGTACCTGTACCCCGTGCATTCATAGCCATGGGCAGTCTCTGCTCGGAAGGGATGAACATCGCTCAGGATGAAGCCAGCTCCTGCTGCCACCGCCACCACCTGCCAGCTGTTGTGCCACTCTCTCCTGGGCTGATCAGCAGGTGTGCCACCCTGCCCCCTGCAGAGAGCCACGCGGACCTCTCCATCCTGTGTCAGCACTTCTGCACAGCTGGAAGGGAAGCAGGCAACAAGAGGTGCTGTGTTAGCACAGCCAGAAATCATGTAACACCTGCAAGGAGCTGCAGCGGTGCTAGGAAGGTATGTTGCCCTGCAAGGCTGTAGTGAGGTGGAGGTCAGCCTCTGTTCCCATGTAACAGCAACCAGATGAGAGGTGATAGTCTCAAGTTGTACCATAGGAGGCTCAGGTTGGATATTAGGAAGAATTTCTTCTCTGGAAATGTGGTCAGGTACTGGCACAGGCTGTCCAGGGGGTGGGGAGCCACTGTCCCTGCAGGTGTTCAGGAAATGTGGAGATGTGGTATTTAGGGATACAGATAGTGGGCAGCATTGGTGGTAGGTGCATGGTTGGACTATGTGATGTTAGGAGTCTTTTCCAACCTTCGCAATTCTATGATCTCTGCAGTCAGTGAGCACAGCACTAACTCTGCTTGACTCACCTATGGAAGAAGCCTGAGAGCAGCTCTCTGTTCTTCACCACCCCAGTCTTCCTCCCACAGTGAGGGAAGTTGAAATAAATGCAGTCAAATTCTCTTTTTGCTGGTAAAAAATAGTCCTTCAGCTTGGTGCAGTCCACAGAAAACATAACTTCAGCTCCTTCAAAAGTAAACAAAAACCAAGGTCAGGCTGGACGGGGCTCTGAGCACCGCAGGAGCTGTGGGTGTACCTGTGCACTGTAGGGAGTGGCACCAGGAGGCCTCTTCGGATGTATTCCAACCCAAACCATTCCAGGACTGGCCACTTTAGAGCCCATCCGTGGCCTTGCCTCCCACGTGTCAGGGAAGCGGGGAGCCCACGCTCCCTTTGCTCCGCCGCAGATTTCTGCTAACGGTTCCTTCAGCGCTGCTCCTCCTGCGGGACACTGATCCCGCCGGCCAGACCCACCCCGAGCGACACTCGAGACCCGCGAGGCCCCGCAGCGCTACGCCCGCCCACCCCTTTCCCGCAGCCGCCGGATGCTTTCCGCGGCCCGGCCCCGCGCCGCCGCCTCTTCCTCTCTCTCGTAGCAGGTTGCCACCACGCGGGTCCCGTCGGTCTCGCAGAGCGCGGCGGCGAACGAGAAGTTGCCCTCGCCCAGCAGCAAAACGCGGCGCTCCGCCATCGCTCGGCTCCCCGATGGCCGCGCTTCCGCCCGGTGAAGCCGCGCTCTGTGCGCCCCGAGCGGCTCGGGAGGCGGCGGGGGGCGGCGCGGGGCTCAGCCGGGAAAGGCGGTGCCGGTCCGGGCGTCGGCGCCCTCGGCCTGGATGAATGAGTTCCTCTGTTTGTAAGGTGGCTGCGTCACCCCGTGATTACCTATGAAGCTGAGAAATTCAGTATCCTTCTTTAGGAAAATAAATGCTTACTGTACCACCCAAAAAGCTCTGTCACATCTAGAATGAATGCAGTCCTCTGATGCCATTGGCTGCGGTGGTGAATGGCTCGGTGTCCGGGTGACAAGTGGTGTCCCTCAGGGGTCAGTGCTGGGACTGGTGCTCGCTGTCATTCACTGGTGACACTGACAGTGGGATCGAGTGCACCCTTAGCAGTTTGCAGTAATATCCTAAGCTGTGTGCTGCAGCTGACACTCGTGAGGGACAGGATTCCATCCAGAGAGATTCAAACAGGCTGAGCTCTGGGCCCAGGAGAACCTCAGGGGGTTCAGCAAAGCCAAGTGCAAGGTCTGCACCTGGGTCATGGCAGCACCCACTGTCAGTGCAACTGGGGGACGTAAGGATAGAGCACAGCCCTGCCAAAAAGGACCGGGGGTACTGGTGGGGGGCAGCTGGACATGAGCCAGCAGTGTGCCCTGGCAGCACAGAAAGCCCAGCGGACCCTGGGCTGCAGGCAGAGCAGCGCGGGCAGCAGGGCAGGGAGGTGCTCCTGCCCCTCTGCTGTGCTGTGACAGCTCACGTGGAGCACTGCGTCCACAGGTGGAGTCCTCAGGGCAGGAGAGACGGGGAGCTGCTGGAGTGCGGCCAGAGGAGGGACACAGAAATGGCGGCAGGGATGGAAGCCCTCCCTGCGAGGACAGGCCGAGAGCTGGGGCTGAGCAGCACGGAGAAGAGAAGGCAAGAGAAGGAGAGCTGAGAGCGGCCCGTCAGCATCTGAAGGGGCTGTGAGAAGGGAGGGGACGGACTCTGCAGTGGGTCTGTGTGATGGGAGAAGGGGAGATGGCTTCAGACTACAAGAGGGGAGATTGAGGTGGAGCTGAGGAAGAAGGTTTGGCAGTGAGGGCGGTGAGGCGCTGGCACAGGTTGCCCAGAGAGGCGGTGGTGCCCCGTCCCTGCAGACAGCCAAGGTCAGGCTGGACGGGGCTGTGAGCACTGCTGAGCTGTAGGTGTCCCTGTGCGCTGCAGGGGAATTGGACGAGATGACATTTAAGAGTCCCTATCAACTCAAACAATTCTAGGATTGTATGCTTCCATCACAACCAGAAAGGTGAGGTCCTTGCCTGGTTACCAAGGAAGTGAAGGTGTGACATTCCGTGCTGCTAGGAGTGGTTTAAGTCTGTGCTGCTCACTGCTGGACTCTGTTCCCAGATCAAATCCAGACCATGTACAACTTCCTCAGTGGCTCCTTAAAGCATGCCACTGGCCATGGGGAGGTGTGGACAGAAACCTCCAAATTCTCCCAGTTTGGCTGGAGGTGCACCACCAATGAGAACGATTACTCGCACAAAGTACTTATGGGGAACTGGAATGAAGAGCGCTACGACATCCGGAACATCACACAACCCAAACCACTTCCTTCCCAAGTATGTGCTGGGCCTTTCACGGACGTAGCAAATCTCAGCTGAGGTATTCCTTGGTCACTGAATTTGTCACATACGCAGGGCCTTATCCATTCCATCAGCTTTGAATATCATAGAGATGAGCCTGCCATGAATAGCTCCCCTTCTGCTGCCCTGCTCCTGGTCTTTCCTAATGGATTTTAAAAATGCAAAGCCAATTCCTTTCCTCGGCTGAGCACTCTACAACAGTTCCACTGCAGGGCAGAAGCCGTGAGAAATGCTTCTTCATTTAATCTCAGCCTTGCTCTTAGTAGTGGCTCCAGTCAAACTGTGGTGCCTTTGCTGTTCAGCGTTTTGCCCTGAGATGGTGAATGCAAAGAAGTCACCCAAGCTTTGTGATCTTACCTCAGACTGACTTCAAAGCAGGGGTGTGATTGCAGGTACTTTGTTCCTCCTGTAAGGTGCAAAATGCTGAAGTTTTTAGTTTATATTTGGCAGTGTTAAATGTGAGTTTTTCTTTCCAGTATGCTCACTGCTTTGAAACGACGTATTCTTCGGATTACAACATGGACAAGGATCAGAGAACGGGAAGTATGTGTGCAGAATTGAAACAAAATGTTTGTTCTGTAGCAAGGTTAAAGAAGATCTTTGGATGACATTTTGCCCAGAGACGACAGACTGATGTTTTCTCTGTTGAGCTGTATTCCTGCACCATCACAGAACAGGTCTTTCGAGTCTTTCAGGGAGTGGCACTTGCATTTCATGTGTTCTTGCCTAGCTGCCCTCATCACACTTATTCCTGAGAGATCTCCATTGAAAAGCCCCATTTCTTGTTTCTGAGTTGGAGCCTTTGTGGAAGAAATGGATGTGCGGCTGTTGGTCGGCGCTTGGCTGCAGTGAGCCAGCAGTGTGGCCAGGAAGGCCGACGGATCCTGTCTGTGTCAGCAGGAGCTGGCTTTTGTTCTCTGAGTGGTCGGGCACTGGCACAGGATGCCCTGGGAGGTGGTGGAGTCATTGCCCCTGGAGGTGACCAAAGAAAGGGTCGATATAGCACTGAGGGACATGGTTTAGTGGGGAAATAGTGGTGGTAGGTGGGACTAGATGATCTAGGAGGCCTTTTCTAACCTTAACGATTCTGTGATTCTAACAAATCCCTGCTCTGTAGAAAGGATTTCCCCCCATTTACACTTTTTGGATACACTTGGATATATTTTGGATATATATATTTTAGACATTCTTTCTCAAGTTGGCTTTGTTTCTCCTTTCAGGATTTGAACAAGAACCTCATTGGTTTCCGGGCCACCAGCCTGAGTTGGAACCTCCTTTGTTCAAATCAACTGCCCAGTCCTGCTACACAATTGACTACAGGCCTCCACACAGCCACTGCTCATGTCCAGCACCTAGAGAAGGAACAAAAAGGATGCAGACAAAGCAACAGAGATGAAGGGGACTGCAGACTACGCCTTCAGGATAACAGGAGGCCTGTCTGCTAGCCGTGCTGCGAAGATATCCCTCAAACCAAAACAACCTGTCCTGCATTAGAGCCAAATACAGCATCTTGTGAAATATGTTGCTCCTGCTTTCTCAGCAGTATTGTTTGTAATTAACCCGTGAGTTTCTGTCATGCTTCACTTTGTCACTGAAGCTCAACTAACACCTTACCTGGTAGAACTTTTTAAACTAGAGCTTGGCATTCAGGTGGGATCTGGTGCATTTGACAGTGATCCCACCTCACTGAGTTCTCACTGTAGTCCTTTCCCTTAAAGCCATGGAAGAAGTTTGCCCACTGAGTTCACCTGAGATTTTGACTGATCTCTTATAATTCTTGTCTTAGCAGGTATAAGAGACATAGAAGATGGGTCACAGAATCATAGAATCATTAAGGTCAGAAAAGACCTTTCCAGATCACCCAGTCCACCAGCACTGCCCACTGAGTCCCTCAGTGCGACATCCACCCCTTCCTTAAACACCTCCTCCCCCTTCCTGGACAGCCTGTTCCAACACCTCATCAGTCATAGCTGAGTACAATGACCTGTGCAATAGACCTGGTTTTCGGAGGTTTTTCGGGGTTTTTTGTTTTGGGGGGGGGAGGGAAGGAGGGGGGCAGGAATTGCAGAAATTATGTTCCAGTAATACAGACTTTCCTTTCCGCTCATAGCTCTTTGAAGAGAGGTGCTAAGCAGATTCTGACACATGAGAAGGACTTAGTATTGTTTTGTACCATACAACAGTGTTAGCATAAATCAGATGAATACTCTAGACTTCAGATGCTATTTATTGTTTGAAGGGCACAGACAACATAGTTTCAGAGTGATGTGGTTTGCATCATTAGAGCAGGACATTTTTCTCCTCTCTGGATGTATCTGTGTTTACTGCAGCTATGCAGTTGTCATCTGCAACTGCTCCCAAGTGATTGCAGCACTTGAATGCTTTTGCGTAGCATGGATCATTCTAGAAATACAAGATACAGTTGTTCCCCATTCAGCTGTTATCTGACACCCACACTTTGAATGGGTTTCGATTGTCATGAAGTTGTCATACCAGCCTAATCTCCACTGGAGAAACTTTTCTATTGCTTGTGAAACACCCAGAAATCCTCAGGAAACACTGAAAGGAAAGGCTCATGCAGTTAGATGTTTGCAAAACATTAGAATAAATGAAGTTACACCAGCAAAGTGTTTTTGAACACAGAGACAAGCACTCCTGGACACACCTGCCACACAAGCTGTAAGCAAGAATGATGCCAGATATGTTTCCCTATGCTGCAAACTTACATGGCTTTCTTGAGCCAACACCTCTCTTGTCTCAAGTGCTCCAAACCAAAAACTACAGACTGCTTATTCACGTTTTATTTGTTAGTAAACTTACTCAGCATAAATAAATAAGAGTGGCCATTGAGCAGAGCTGGCATCCGATGAGAAGTGCTCTTGAATGGCCCTGGCGTGACATCACATAGCAGCCTACTTCCTCTGGGATCCTGCAATGGCAGGCTTCTCTTCACGGGTGATAGGAATACTTCGCTCAGGGACGTCGCTTTGTTTTCTCGGTGCACTCACTGTCAGGACACCATCCAGAGAGAGCGATGAGGTGATGGTCAGGGGATCCACGTCAGCTGGGATCCTGTATTTCCTGCTGAACTCCCTGGCAATAAAGCCATGCTCATCCTTCAAAAGGAGAAGAGAAGGAACAGCGCTGATTAGAAGTGTTCCCTCAGTTCCACCTAAACCATGGGTCTTTAGCATAAAGTCTGAGTTCAGGAAGCTTCAGCTCCCAAAGGAAAACTTTTCAGAAAGTTAAAAGAGTTTTTATTATGAGATCTCCCTTGTAAAGATCTGAGAACGGCTGAAGCGAGAGAATGGCCTGCCCCTGCAGGTGGTGCAGGCACCCTTTGCAGGATGAGGCTTCCTCCACCAGCTTTTGTGCCTGCCAGCTTTGTTTCACAGTGCTGTGCTGCCATGGCTAAAATGTAGGACCTACAGCTACCTCCAGAGCCAGCAGCCCCTCCTCTTGAGGGTCTCCAGGCCCTCAGAATACACAGCTTCCAGGTGAGTTCTTCTCAACTCTAGCCAAAAAAACCTTGCAGAAGCTATTTCAGAATTATGAGCTTCCAGCATCTATGAGTAGCGCTGAATTTTTTGACTGACAGATCTGGGCTCCCAGAAGCTTTTGGACCTGATGGATACACTGATACAGCTACTTTATCTCTAGGATTTGTTTCCTTCTTGCAAGTAGAGGGGGATGGGCAATCCCTGTTATGTACAGCCTTACACATGGCTTTTGGCCTCTCTTTGACCATTTGCCACTGAGCCAGCAAGCAGTGGGACGGCTGACAGCAGAGCACAACCCTTACGGACTGTAAGTTGGTATTTTTTCAGGAACAGATAGCCTCTTGCTAATGGAACAGGGCAATGCATGGATTCATTATGTGGTTTAATTATTACAGCTCACTGTTAACTTATTGAATGCCTCTCTGCATTCCTGTCTTCTTCCCAGAAAGAGGGAGGCCCAGAAATGCTCACTTCAAAGTTGATTTTCCAGTTCAGTTCTCAGGTCATGCAACACCAGCACTAAATCTCCACTCTGCTGCTGCCCAGTCTGGAATCGGATCGGTTTGCACAGAGATCGTCCATTAGGATTGGTTGATCAAAAACACTGCAAGTGTTTCAGAAGGGCAAAGAAGAGGATTATTCTGCAGCCTCCTTGTTTAACCATAGATGAGGAGGCACACACTGGCTAACAGTGACAAAATTAAAGAAGTACCTGCCGCTCCTCGTGTTTCCCATGAATTTCTATCATGTCCCCAAGCACCTTCACTTTCAGCTCCTCAGGGGAGAAATGCTTCACATCAAGATTTACAGAAAATTTGTCCTTCTCCAGTCGCATCTGTAAAACAAGGAGACAACTTCAGGCAAAGGTTTCAGCTTCATCAGACTCTCAGCATGCAGCAGGTCACGCTCACACTGGGCTATCTCCACATGCCCTGCCTGACCTGCATTCAGTCCTGGGATTCTTATCTGGCTCAGATTGTCTCTTGTTAGCTTCTTCCATTCATGCCCACCACTACAGCACATAAAGCATGATGCTTTCTCTCAGGATAAACATATAATAAACATTTTCTGGGGAATAAGGAAGAGATTTTCTCAATTTGAATTTGTTAAAACTGACTCCCCAAACTTTTTCTGAGGTGTCTGGAGATTTCCAGTCTCTGCAACTGAATTTTGCTAAGTCTTTCTGGAAAAAGAAACTGAGTGTGCAGCTGACTACAGCTCATGTGTGTCACTCGCAGGCTTTTCCCTGCAACATCACTCCTTAAAAACAAAAATAGCGTGTGTCAGCTAAGCAGCACTACTGCCTCACCTCTCTTATCTGAGCAGCAGGGCTACTGCTGAAACTCTGAGTCACCTGCTGCTCATCTTGCCTCCTTACCTTCCATTTTGCACTTTGTCATCTCCAGCAAATGCTGCTTTTTGCTGGCTCCTGAGGTTGAATTTGCATTTTCTGCCTGTCTTGGATAAGTCAGTGGGACTCAGCAGTGCAAGCTGGCTCTCTCTGCCTTCCTGCTGTGGTCATGGTCAGGAAACACACGAGGCTCCTGCAGCTCTGTTCTGGGACATGGAGGCAGCTTCCATGCCAGTTCTAGGTTACTGGTTTCCTCAGTTTTACCTGGAAGGCTTCCTGCTCCTTCTGCTAGATAATTTGTGAGGATTTCTCCAATGAGAAAGTCAGATGTTGATGTTATTACCTGTGGTGCTTATTATGCCTGCTTCAGCAGATGACCAGACCCAGGTGACTAAACCAAGGGAAACATCAAGCAAAGAGTAAGAAAATACTTCCCTCTCACTCCGTTGGCTTTGAGTAGCTCTATAAGTTATTTGCAAATAGACAGCTGACCTGCACACTGAACAAGGTCATTTGAGCTGCGTGCCTCAGCCCCTGAAGCAAGCAGATGGCCATTTAAAGGCCCTCCCGTCCCATATCTCTCTGAAAACACTGCTCTGTCTGCCAGAGATGCTTTAGCTTTGGCCTCTCTATTCAGCACCGGGGGGCTCCCACGCTGCCTGGCATGGGGGTCCCACTGCTCCTCTACTTCTCAGGAGGAAGCAGAATGGAAAATTTTTCAGGGCAGACAGAGAAATCAGGCTTCCTCCTTTCTCCTGTCAGTTCCTGCAGTCATTCACAGCACACACACAGCTCAGTTTGTCTCTGTGTGTCCATGACTCTGGCAATACTTGCTCTCAGTTACAAGTGATTAGCAAAGCGTGCAGAGGAACTTACCTAACACAGAGGAGCAGAGGCAAAAACTCAGCACCCTTTTCCCCAGGCTTTTCCTATTAACAATCTACAAGCAGCGTCCCAGCTCTCCTGAGTTCCCAGCTCCAGACCCATCAGGATGTGCACCCAGCGGTAACAAAGAGCAGAAAGCAGGGCAGATTACCTCTGAGAGTCCCGTCTCCAGCCAACTGGGCATCCGAAAGAAGGGGGATCTCATCAGGAAGGGGCTGAGGCTGGGGGAAGTAGGGAGCAGCTCTGACTCCTGCAGGTGCTCTCCAAATATCTGGTCAAAGATACGGCTCGGTGTCAACCAAGAAAACAGAGGTCTGCGGATCAGGGGGTTGTGTATGGTGATATCCATCGGAGCGCGACGGAGGAGCCAAGCAAACGACTGCTGCAGTGCTGTGCCCAGCACAGGGGGCAGCTTTATACCCGTGTGGTTGGCGGGGCCTCTCCCCCCGAGGCCTCCTGAATAGTGGTGTCAGGGATTTTATTGTCCCAATCCGGGACTGGTCCCTTCAGCAGTGCCCAGGAGTGTCTGGGGGTTTGAACAGATTGCTAAGGAGGAGGGGGAAGGGGAGAAGAAGACAAGGAGACTAATGGGGCAGCAAGAAGCCAAGCTGCCCGGCTGCCCGCCCCGCGCCCCACGTGCTGTTTATCTGCCGAGTCCCAAGCAGGCTTGGCGGATGTTCCCAGCTGCTTCAGATGCCAGCAGGATCAATGCAGCTCCTATCTTTGGCTCACATGGAAAAGGACAAGGGGCTGTTGTTCCCTGTGACGGCACCATGGCTGCAGCTCCCCACTGCACCCACGCGCCTAGGAAAGGCTCTGCCTTCCCTTAAAGCGAAGGAAGCCGCACGCCATAGCTGGAGGGCAACATGGACCCCAAAAGGTCTGTTGTGATGTACTCCGGTGTGCAGCTCTACAGACTAGTGAGCACCCTACATAAGCACCTGCTGGTGTGTGCACACTAAGGATGGTTTCCACAGGGCATCAGGTGATACCTCTTCCTCTTTGCCTACTAGAGAAACCACTTTGCGGGAGAGAGCAGAAGAGCCCAGCACTCTGCAAGCAGAGATAAAGCAGGCAAACAGCAGCCCTGCAGAGCTGCACTGCTGCTTGCCTTCTCTGGTTTGCAAACTCCCTTGTTCTGTTTGCCCTGCAGCAATCAGTTCAGATCATGAGACTGGGTTCAGCCCAGCAGCTGTCTTTAAAGTACAAGAGCTCTGAGTATCTGCAACTTACATACAGCCTTCTGGCTTAGGGGCACATCATTCTCACTGCTAGCACCATCAGTCCCCTGCAAAAGGGCCTGACCCTCTTCCTGTTCACTTGCCTGCAAGATTAGGGAGTAGAATTCACCCTCTGCAGAAGCCCCAGCAGTACTTTGTCCAGTTCCATATTACGTCAGCAGTAGTGCACCTGCTCTCTCGCACCGCAGACATGGAAATCTCTGGTTTCAGAGTATGAGGAGCTTAACTGGGTACTACCTCCCAGTTCAATAAAAGTGGATCTAGGCCAGCTTCAGACCCTGCTTAATGTGTGACCTCCAGCACAGGCATTCTTCTGATCCCACTGCACAGCACTGAAGCCCTGGCCAAGGCACAGCCCAGACAGCTGGCTCACAGCGGCACAGTTCTGGAGTGTCAGCATCAGGGTCTGCTTAGTGCCACTTAACAGTCTGCAGCACCTTACCACTCCCAGGAACAAGAGACTCAGCTTCAGGGGAAAACAAATCCCTTTCTCTGGGGCTGATTTGAGGGCTAAGCTCACAACGATGGCTTTGCATGACTGCACACAACCTCACCAAGCACCAGCCACCATTAGGCATTGTCCTGTCCCCTGCTGGCTCGGCAGGGGCAGCTGGGGGCCCAGTTCCTGTCTCTTGTCTCCTGCCCAAGGCAGGGAATCAGGAGGTGCAGGATTGCACCCCGCTGACAGGCAGAGTCTGCAGCTCTACAGGAATGCAATGAGGCGCTTCCCTCGTCACCCTGGCGAGGCGGCCCGGGGCCTGGTGCAAGGCTATTTTGGTCTGTCTTTTTATCACACACTCCTCCCTGTGGAATTCACCCAACTAAAACCTTGCAATCTGCAGCCTCGGCTCTCAGAGGCAGCGAGTGCTTGGACAGGCCCCTTCCTCAGCTCTCCATGGCTGCGCGGACGGTGCCCCATGCCTACCCCATGAGCTCAGAGTACGAGTTCGCCAACCCCAGCAAGATCTACGACCAGAACTTTGGAGAAGGTAAGCAGGGAGATGGGACCCCCGGCAGCTCTCTGTCTTTGGGTGCAGGAGGCTGGCACAGTCCCTCTGGAGAGGAGCTTCAGGAGCCAAGGAAGCCCAAGCATGGGAACCCAGGCAAAACCAGGAGGATAGCCTAGGCACAGCCAGGAGCTCTCTTTAGGTCCACCTCCTCCTTCCATGCCCAGTGCTGGTTCCCCTGTCCCTTTCCTGTGCCTCCAGGGTCTGTTCATGCACATGCTCTGCAGCAGGGAGCAAAGCGTTGTCCCCCCATGCCCCCCACCTCACCACACCCCACAGAGGCTGTGACTGTGCAGGACATGTCCCAGTGCTCTTCTCCATTGCCAGGGGAGGTTGCACCCTGCTCATGGGAGAGGTGTGTCAGCAGCAGTTCCACCTTGCCCACAGCAGGATCGGGGGGAGGGATTTTAGAAAACTACTGCTGGGGGAGGGGGAGGGGAAGATTTTGTAGCCGGGAACAGTGAGAAAAGCTGAGCTGGGGTGTTAAGCACAAAGCCCGGCAACGGTTGGCAGAGAGGAAGGAATGTGGGCAGCAGCAGAACCATTCAGCATCGGCACAGCAGCGTGAAAAGGCAAAAAGATCCAAGGAAAGCCCTCTGGACAATGGCAAACAAAAGGCCTTTAGTTCTTCAGGGCAGTGTCTTCACCATCAGCATTTTCCATGCCCAGCCCCAGCCGCGGGCTTTGCGTTGCTGAGCACCCAATGCACCCACCAGTCCCTCCCAGTCCACCCAGCAGATGCCCTAGCTGGATGTCAACCCTCAGCTTATGGCAGAGGAGCCTTTGGTACTGAGTGTGCACTCTGGAGATGCAAGGGTAGGAAATGGCAGAGCCTCTGTCCCCATTGCAGAACTGACGCAGCAGCAATATCAAGGTGTTTGCAGGACCCAGCCTCCCTGCTTCTCCATCCCTCTCCCTGGGAAATCCCCCACTTCCCACTGGGTCTCATTCCTAGGTGTGTCCCCATGTGAGATTTTAGCTCCTGCCCTGTACCACGGCTACTACATCAGGCCTCGGATCAACAAGCAGCTGGATCGAGGCACCTCGGAGGTCAGCCTCAATGACCACAAGTACGAGGTGTTCCTGGACGTCTGCCACTTCCTGCCCGACGAGCTGACAGTGCGCACTGTGGACAACCTGCTGGAGGTGGTGGGGCAGCACCCCCAGAGGGCTGACCGCCACGGCTTCATCTCCCGGGAGTTCACCAGGACCTACATACTCCCGCTGGACGTCGACCCCTTGCTGATGAGAGCTACCCTGTCCCACGATGGCATTCTGAACATTGTGGCACCCCGAACAGGAAAGGAGGTGAAGGCCAGGATCATTGAAGTGAAGATAATCCAGGAGCAGACAGTGGGGCAGGAAGAACAGTCTGAGGAAGAAAAAGGAAAAGAAGAGTCCTAAAGGCCCCAAAGCTGGGTTTGAGCAGGGAGGGGGGAGAGGCAGAAAAGGGAGTCACTGTGCCAGGCCTCTGTTTCTCACCATCAGTGTTTAGAAGGGCTGGAACACAGCTGTGCATATGCCAGACTTCTGCTTCTTAAGGCTGATGATCAGAAGAAGGGGCTTGGAAATGAAAAAAGAGGGGGACTAAAGTGTTCATGGAAGGGACTCTAATGCAAGTTTTTCTCCTGGGTGCCCAGTGAGCACCATGCTCTTCTCTCACCCCACACTGCAAGGGCTGCTCTCGCCCAATGCTCTGAGGCTGTGCACCTGCCCATGCAATCCCAGCACCTTGCTGGTGCTGGCCTTTGTGCAGATGCAATGCTGTTAAGTACCCACAGTCTTGAATGGAAAGAGGAATAAATCTGCCTCCAAGCTTCACTCATTTGCCTTGGACTCACACTGCTCCTGCCCACATTACTGTGCAGCAGGAAGGACGGATGATGCCTTAGCAGCTTGGAATGCAAGGAGCAGAGCAGTGGAGAGTTCACTCTGAACTCGTCTGGAGAAAAGTCCCATAAATGAGAGATTTGCCCCTTTAGCAGACATGGTGATGCTACCAGCTACATGAGAAACGTCTTCACAGCCCTGTGACGTGGGACTGGGGATCGGGTGTGCTGCTGTCAGCGGCAGCTGCTGCGCAGCCAGCCCCAGGGTTCAGCAGGCGTCAGGCACAATCCTTGTCGGTGCCAATTAAAGCATCCAGAATGCTGTGTCACCGGCCAAATATGGGGACCCTGGCACAGCTCAGTGCAGCCCTCCTAAGGAGAGAGAAAAGCTCCGAGGTCCCCATGGACAAGCTTCCTCCTGTCAGAATGTGGCTGCAGTCTTCTGCACTCCTCTCTGTGAGGAAGGAGGGCCAGTAAATAATTCAGATGATGCCAAAATAAAAATCACCTTTACAACAGGTTTTGTCTAGGCTATTAGTAATAATTTCAGAGATAATCCCGCATTAATGACTTCCAGTCACCTGCTTGTAAGAGCAAGAACTGACAGGTCCTTTCGGAGCGGACTGCCCCACTGTGCCCCCAGCACACACCCCGTCCCACTCACAGCATCCACCCAAGCCCCTGCAGAAGTCACAGGGCCTGGGCTGGGTCTATGCAGGGCACGGGTCCTAAGAGAAAAGTGCCTATAGCAGTTCAGAGTTCCCTCTGCGGTGATGCCAGCTTGCCTTGCACCCGTACCTATCACAGCACACTCCCAATCTGTGACACACTGCAGTGCAAACGCACAGCAATACAACCATTACACAGTTCTCGTCCCTCTCTTAGGAGCCCCATCCGCTCTCTCCAGCAAGTTCATTCCTCACCGCTGGGCACTCGCAGGTTCGCGCTGTGCCAGGCTCGCAGCCTGTCACCCAGACAGGCCGAGGGCAGCTGCCGGGGTGGGGGGAGGGAGGGACTGGCACTGCCTGGTGCCACCCGGGGCTGCGCCCAACGCTTGCTGTTCGGTGCTGGAACCAGGCGGCTCCCGTCGTGCTGACGAGCTGCAGGGGAATGCGGAGCGGCAGCCAAGGGCTCCCCGGCTGTGCCAATGTTTTCAATGCCTTTCTGTTTCTCCAGTGGAGCTCAAAGCAGCAGCTCCAGCGTTTGTGTTTGAGGCTGATGGGAAAAGGCTCCCAGACTCTTTGTTTTTCCTCTCCACAAAGCAACGTAGTTATCCCAGAAATCAAAACAGTGGCTCACTGAATCAACAGCGTCTGTGGACAAACCCTGAGACACAGAGTCTGCAGTTTCCCAACGGTACTCAGATTCCTGAGACCACCTGGCCTGTGCAGCAGCCCAAGAACTGGTCCTGCTGGGGGCAGGGCTGAAGCCCACCCCCCTGCATCAGTCAGGCCCAGGCTGCAGGACTTTCAGAAGCCCAGCTGCACAGAGCAGCAGATTCAGCTCAAGACCCTGTGCAGCTTGCAGTGCAGCTCCCCCAGGAGAGCAGCCGTGACCCTGGCTGAAGCATGGTAGAATTCTCCTCCTCCTTCCGCTGCTGGGAAGCCCCAGGCTTTGCTCTGTGATCAGGCAGACAAGCGATGCTGGGAGACTGGGAGCAGAGCTGCCTCCCCTCAGCCCACCAGAAGGGAGAATGGGAGCTCCCCCAGCTGTCAGCACATCCCTTGGAGTGTTCAGACCCACACAGAACTGCCAAATTGAGGCCGTGGGGCACAGTTTCTGTTCCAGGGCAAAATCAACAATACTTTGACATTAAGTATTACCTCAACAACCAGATGTGCTCTATAAACCTACTCCCACTTCTGCTGGGCCACTGCCTCCCTCGCAGGTGATCCACTCCCTTCCCCAGGTGATGCCACACATTTTCCAGACATCCCACTTGATACGCATGAACAGAACTGACAGCTCCTGTTCTCCCTGAGCTCCCACTTTAGAGCTCCTCTTGCGCAGGAACACCTGAATCCCTCCTGCACTCCTTCCCTGCCGGCATGCCAGGAGCGGGGCAGCTGAAGGCACAATTCCAGCCCTAGGCCTGGCCCCGGAGGACGGCAGCTGCCCCTCCCAGCCCCGGGCAGCCGGCGGCAGCCCCCCGGTAGATGGCACGCACGGGCCCGGCGCGGCGGCGAGAAATCTGATCCTGCAGACACTCCCTTGGAATAGCCAGGGGACGAGCGGGGAACCAGGAAATACAAGCCGTGCCCGTGCAGAGAACGCTCCGGCTTCATGGAGGAAGGAGCGACATGGGCAACCGCTGCAGCTGCGGGCGCCCGTGGTGAGTACGGCGGGGCGGGGGGCGGCGGCCGGAGCCAAACTCGGGCAGCGCTCAGCAGGGCTGCAGCGGGGCTGCTCCTCGCACCTGCCGAGGCGGGGCGGGCCGGGGGGCTCGCCTCGTCGGTGCTATAGCTGGGTTCTGCGAGGATCGAGTTGAAATCCTTAAAAGTTCCCCAGCGGAGGTAAAACCTGCAGGCTGTGGCACTGCCCCGAAGGGCAGCGGCCCCCCCAACCCGGGCCGCGCTGTTCAGATGCTGTCAGGCTCCCGAGAGGAGGGGCGGCTCAGCCCCCGCTCTCACGCTTCGCCGGTGCGGCGCACGGGGTGGTGCCGGGTGGGAACACGGAGTGCTGAAAGCGCGGGGAGAGCTGTAGGTATCAGGTGAAGCGCAGGAGGCTTTCTCTCCAACACTGTATTTGCTCAAGTAATAGAAAATCATCGGAGCTTTTTAATAATTAAGAGGCACAGCATCACCTAGTGGCTGGAGCCGAAGAGAGAGTTTGTACACCCAGAGTCCGGGGTTCAGGAATAGGAATTGCAGATGGAAGGGGGGAAGCTGGTTCTCGAAATCTCCTTGTCTTCCACTTCCTCTGCCCTATGGCAGGGGTTAAACAAGGTGCCCAAGGCACTCTCTTCAGGCTGCAGTGAACAAGAGCCTACACAGGCCCCTTGGAGCGCAGAAAGCACCATCAGCACACACCGTGTGGCACCCCCAGGTCTGAGCAATGCCAGGCCATGCGCAGACACTTCTGCCTCATAAAGAAAGCCTAAACCCAAGCTGGATGGTCAGCTGCCCAGACAGGGCTGAGCAGGAAAGCAGCTCTCCGCTCTCCCTGGGGAGCAGTGTGGTGGCAGCCTGGCTGCAACTGCCACTTCAGGGTCAGTGCCAACTTCTGCTGTCCCAAGGCTGCAGGACCAGGACTGCTGCGTCCTTCTGGGTGTTTTTCCCAAATGGAGAGTTAGAAGCTGGGGTGTTTCTGCTGGTGGTGTCACCACCGTCTCCCTGCTCCCCTCTGGCAGTAGAGGACTAAGCTCTGGCCCAAGAGCCTTTTGCCCCAGCAGCCCTTGTGGGGCTCTCATGCTAACTCGTGCCCCATGTAGGGACCGAAGTGGAGCTCTCC